GGAGGGGTGATAGATATAGAGTTGTAGTAAGTAGATAGAGTTCGCTATGATTGGGGTTTCGTTTATGCATAGGGTAGATTCTTTTAATTACATTTCCTTTTTTGTTTTGTGTATTTTATACATTTTGGATTGTCTTGGCGAGCTATTTTTAGAACATGCCCCGCGGGCGACTCACGTTGCCCCTGCGGGCGACTAAGTGCCCGCGGGCACCGTGTTGGCTACCCCTGCTCTAGCCAATCAAACCGCGTGCTTGTGTGTCCGGGATGGGAGATTCATGTGATTGGTTGTTGGTCGAGTTTCAGACAAGCTCACCGGCAAGCTTCAACGCACGCCGCCGTGTGGACGCTGCGTTAGGGATGCTCCGATCGATCGGCCGCCGATCGATATCGGCCGATACTCACTCTCTGCCGATCGATCGGTGCTCTCTAAAAATGCCGATCGCGAGAGCCGATCGCATGACGTAAAATACATGAGACTTTTCTCTGTGCGCTGCAAAACAAGCTCGCCAAAATGGCTTCACCGGTCTGGCAGTATTTTAAGGTGTCTGAAAATGACAATAAAATAGCGGTATGCAACGTGTGTGAAGCAGAAATCCTGCAGCTCCGCCTGCTGTGACGGACCAAAACACACGCTAAGAGTTTGACCTAACACACTTCACTATTTTATCTACCTCTGGAACAAGCTAAACTAGTTATAAATATATGTATTCTTCACTGTCGGGTCACTCATTACTGGATCAGTGAGCTGCATGAGATACTGACGGGCTGTCAGGAGAGAGAGAGAGGAAAAGAGAGCACTTCCGCTAATTTCTCCCGTGTTATTATCCAAATGTAATGTGAACTTGAATAATGTACTTCATTTGAATGTAATAATGATGTTGGTTGTTTGTGGAAGCGCCAGTGAATGAGCCCCATTAACTGAGTTTTAAACATCACTTTAAATGGAAGATCCCCATAGGCCCCGCCCACTCGATCGGATCGGCGATCGGTATCGGCCGATACTGATTCCGGCGATCGGCCCCAAAATTGCCGATCGGAGCATCCCTACAAACCATATATTCAAAGTCTAATTTTGCTCACAACTATATTTGTGCGCCATGTGTTCAGTTTATTCTGTAATATTTAAAGGTCAGGGTTAAACTCAAAATAGACAAAAAGACGCCAAGCTTGTCTGGAGTAATTATAATGTGTGCAGTGCAGCCAGAAATCAGAGAGAAACTGTTAATGATCCATACGCGCTAAAATACAAGCTCTGCTGGAAGGAGATCCCAAACTGGGCCGTGCGTGAGGAGAGCTTGTGTGGGCAAATGCCAAGCGGACAGAAACGTAGAGGCACTCATTTGCACTGCCACAGAAGGGCCTTGTAAAACTCCAACAGCGTTTAGCATAGACACAGCATAGATAAAAAGCCTAACCTTGAACTCCAAGTGTTTTTCTATTTCAAACTAGGATACAGTCATGTTGGAGCCCAGCCATACAATAACTTACCTCTGCAAACCACGTTGGCTATGTTAAGCATTGTGAACGGCTAACTTTAGAACATGCCCTGGCCTCAGACAACCCTAGGACTCCATTGACTTCTACAACCTTGAGGGGAGATACAACCCAGTACGGTAGACCTAAAAAAGGTTAAAAACTAAAGAAATTACTAGCCTCATTACTTGCTTTGCAACGCTTGGAGAATATGGACTTCTAAAATGTTATCAGACCAGACTTTGTAGGGCTAATTACCCTGTAAAGGTGGGCAGAGCTGTCTATAATCTTACATACCAAACATACCGGCCCTTAATACTTTAATCAGATTAGCTTCTCTTTCAGTTGAGAGACCTATGGATATTAACATTATAAAACAGAATACAAATCATGAAGGAGATAGCTAAAGTTTCAAACAAGACTTTTGACACTATAAAATCTCCACGTGATAGCATGGGCTTTGTGTCCTTGTAGGGGTCAGTTTGCGTAAATCATTCCTCGAACCATGACCACAAAGAGGCACTACTTGTATCTCTCCATTGAATAATTTGTAGCCAAGTGTGTGCAAAGGGGAGATAGTGGTAAGAGCAAACTTGAGTCACGCCCTTCTGGGAAAGACATGACCTGTTAGGCAGGCGTGCTTAATGAAGGTGAGTCAGCACAGTCCCTTAACTTTAACAAGAGGTGATATTGGACAGAGGTTATTTGCACACTGAGCACTTGAAGTAAAAAAAGAACTGAAAAATGGTCTGGAACAGATGGCCTTTTCTCACCTGTTAGCAGGACCAATGAACCATTGGAAGACACGGCTAAATGCATAGGAATTAAACAGCTTCCAATTAAGAGCTTGAATTTCAAAATATGTTTAACTTCAAGGTCCTAATAGTCCCGCAGTCAGATTTTTTAAATCATTCTCAGTGTTTGAAGAGAGAACTGTTCTCTGGTTTCAAGGGTCGGACGTGTTGCAAAAGTAGTTTCTTCATAGTCTGCTCAGTTACTGAACAAATTCCTTTAAAAACCATTGCTTCATATATTAAATGATGCTCACTGCGGCAAAAAGACTCTTGTTCTAACATTAAAACAGAACTATTGTGAACTCAGTTAGGGGTCATTGGGGGGGTGAAATAAGTGGGAAGTGTTAAAGCTCTTCACATAACAAATTAAATCATACTTTGTTGCTAAATACACTTTATTGAATATGCACTGTTATTACTGTTAGCAAACCATCCAATTAAGTTATTTAAAAACGCTGACATCATTAATCACTACCATATTAAAGGTTAAATTGTAACATAACACTGCATTATGTGAATTGCTCAGTGCAATAATATATGAATTTGCCAAAGGGATTTTAATATAATACCTAGTTGTGCTGTTAAAGACCTAGCTTACTTCTGTAAAAGGCAAGTAGGCTAAGTCTTGTACAGCATGAAGAGATATGATCAGATATACTTGATTAAAAGACATCACACTATAATTCCAGGAAGTTCTCTTCTTCCTGGTACAGCGAGAACATCCTCGTGCCACATATTCAAATACTATACAATTAAGTAAAAATCCTGTCCAACTAGTGGTTGAGCCTCAACTACTGTAGATACACGCACACAAAGCATCAGGATACAACACAGTTTTAAATATAAGTGTTTTTTAAGCAGAAAATGCATCTATGTATGTACGAGATTAAGAGAAATTGGAGGTGCAAAGAGACAAACCTATCACATCTGTAGATACGGATATGTTATAACTACCAATTACATTAATACAAATCCTTATTCAACAGTTTAACCATTAATATAATTTATTTAAGGCAAAACAACAACTTGCAGCTGAAAGCCCAAGCTTTGATTAAACGTGACTAAACTGATGATTCCAAATCCAGTTCATCCAAAAGTTTGTAGAATACAAACTGACAAGTATATTGCCAAACAAAAACACATTTTCAAAGATTTGATTAGTTCGATAATTCCTTTCATTAAGGAATTTGTCCAATGTGTCTCATAAAAATCCCCAGTAATCATGAACATAACAATTCCTTTACCATCCCATGTTGTGCCAAACATTGTCAACACAAATTAGTCTAACTCTGCAGGCTTCTTGCAACATGCACCGTTTCGACCACACTTTGTCCAACTTTGAAAAAGGACCATGGCACAGAGAGACCAGAGATGTAGAAAAACATTGTTGTTATCGAGTGAGGAAAAAAAGATAAGAGTGTGGGAGACAAAAAGAAACGGTGAGAAAAAGAGAACAAGGATCGGGGGAGTAGGAGAGGAGAAGGGGAGAGGGTCAAGCGTACGGAGGAGTCATTGTGCAGTGGCAAATCATGTGAGAGTCACATTGGAGAAAAGCTGCAAGTAGCTCATGGGAAAATGGGCCAAAGTAGAACAGTTAGGCGGGCGAATCCAAAGTATTAGGCCTGCAGATTTTCAAAAGCAGGACATTCACAATAATAAAACGTAAGGAGGGAGCAACACAGGACTTGGTTGTATTGTAAGCAAAGGACACAACTTGACAGATTTGCCCTATTTTTAACTGGGTTTTCTTTTTTTATACAAAACACATGTTATGTAGTCAATTTCACTATAGAGGTCCCTAGCTATGAATACAGGGAGGCAACACAATATGCCTTTATTTCAGATAAGTTCAGATAGATTCAAGTAGCTACTTCTACTACAGACACACTTAAAACTAAAGCAGAACTTTTATTTGTACTGCTTGACTCAATAACTAGTTAAACCTGTTATACTGTGGTTGTTATTTAAAATCAAATTCATTCCCATTGGCAGAACAAATAAAGGCGACAGTTTGGCTTTTCACCTGCTGTTAGTCTGAACAGGTTTTTTTTATCTTCAGTTATGAGTAATATCACACTGTATCACCATTGAGAAACTTCCTCCACAACCAAATTTAAAAAGTCCCTAAAAAGCATTTTGAGCTTTATATTTTCACCTAAATATAGACCAGCATGTTGGCTTGTAAAAATAAAAGTAAACAGTCTAGACTGGAGGTAACATTTATGATTGTTTTAGTTATCATATCTTATCTCTACAGTTGAAGCCTGTCAAGGTCAGTCCACACAGGGACGGTGTAATGTCTACCTACTGACACGGTTACCCCTGGGGGTCATTCAGGGAGGCTAGCTGCTTTAACCCCAGCACTGTGTAGACCACTAGAGCCTAGCCGGACTATCTGAACGTGTCTCCCGGCTTCCCTCGCTATGAAGCCCCGGCAACATGACAGCCACTACTACCGTATCCTGCCAGTGAGCATTATTATAATGAGAGGAGGCATGACTTCAAACAACAACGCCTGGTGCACGCTTTGTGTAACAAGCTAGGACACTACAGCGTTAGCATTACATTCATAAGTGTAACACAACTTAAACAGGTCATACATTTGCCATGTGATAACAATCTCTCTGAGGTAAAACGGAGCTGTTCTTCCTCCAGTCACGGTAACGTTTATATTTCAGTACAATTTCACATCTTAGTTAGAGCTTAGCTGTATGTGAGGGGTAAAAACTCTCACCTTCTTTTCTCAGAACAGCTTTGACCCACTGACTTCTTCTGTGACAGCCTTTGACACGAGGTACCGCTCCTACTTGCTGCTTTCTGATGTAGTTGAGCCGGTGCCCTTGACCATGCGTCTAGCAGCGATGCCTATATGATTGGTTAGCTTTTACTACAAAAGGCGTAGCTTCAACGTCACTTCCAGACATGATCTCGCGAGATTTGGTTGGTGATGCTCAGGGCTCCATGTGATTTTTGACACAATATGGTTCATACAGTATGTGTATAGGATGGGGCAACTTTTTTTTATTTCTGTTTTACCATATATGTTTTTGTATGAAGAAGTAAGCTGTTAGGAAGTAATTATACATTTGAAGAGATCACTTTAATCATACTATACTGCTCTTTTGAAGATCAAACAGATACAGAGTTGAAATAAGGTCGTGGTTAGTGTAGGGAAGTACCCATCGTTCCTTTGTAGCCTACTGTACACGTTCACTTTTTTTACTTACAAATTTGACCTACTTGTTTACTAGAATATTTTTTATTTAGTAAAACACCTACTTAATTTTAATGGGAAAATAGCAATTTGCACTCCTCTAGATTGATTTAATGGCTTATTTATATTATAACCATAGCATGAAACATATTAAGTAAAACAAAAAGTAAAAATGTGTGCAGTTGACATTTCATATAATTTCCCACTTTTTTTAATACTAATATTATTTTAATAACATTACAATCAAAATCTAGTTTAGAGAAAAGCCACCTAAGTTGTGGATTACCTTGAATAGCCCCCAGTGTGTCACAGACAAATTGGGGACTTCCATCCCGAAGCCTTGAAATGAGAACAAACATAACACCAGTGTGCCACAGACTGTTCACTTTTCAGAACCAGACAGAGTTTTCTCTATGCTGCAGCTGTGAAAATATCAGCTTGGAAAAGGAAAGTGAGTGTAGGCCTTTTTAGTTTGGTCAGCACAGATTTTTTCCAGTAAGGTTGTCTGGGTCTATTCCGGCTTTTTCTATGATCCACCATTAATACAGTAATATATAAGGAAAACTTAGTTTGCCATATTTTGAAAAACTTCCAGCGTCTGTAGCCATCTCTGGTAAATTATTTAGCACAAAAGAGGATACATTTGCTTTTACATAACAGAAAAACACACACTTAAAATGGAGACAATATCGATAATTCGGCACCTTGTTGTGTCAATACAGACAGGGTTGACATATCAGCAGCTCCTGGGATTGGGCCTTTGAGGTGGGTCGATGCAGAGCAGGCGTCTGTGGTGGTAAATTATTAGTAAGTCTTTGTAAACACGTGGTTCTTTTACTTTTTTGATAGCTAGTTTTGCAATAACATTTATTTACCATCACGTTTAATTATTGATTCTTGGACCAAAACAGCCTTAGCAAGGTTGTGTGACCGTCCCTTTAATTTGGGGTACTTTCAGTAATTACATGTTTATGGCTATTCCTAAGCTGCTAATGTATATTTTGTGCAAACCATGTTATTGTCAGAGCTTAGGTTTTAATATTTTTCCCACAGCGTGATCTTCCCACAGTTTGGGTCAAATTCCCTGCTTACAAATGTTCAGGCAAGCTGATTAAAATATCTATATTCTCCATGTATATTAAACACCTTGGTTCTTTACAAGCTATATGTTCTTACCCTTATAAAGCCACTGTATATCTTCTGCTAAACAAAACACTGGGCATAATGGCAATTTATTCCTCTTCTCTCTTGGAAAGGATTTAGAGTTTGAAAGTTTAACAGCATTGTCCACGGTGAGTCGTTGTCCTAGTTTTGTGCCGTCCCTAGGCCAAGAATGTGAAGTCCCAGTAGAAGCTGTCAGCAGATTGAATGAATCTCTTTTCTGTGTAATTATTACTTGACACTCTGTGGCTGGTGTCAAGCAACAGGTAATAATGTCTTAGCCTGTGTTGTTGATCACTCTGGAGCAAATATGTTAGAGCAGACAGCACATCTAACAGATTTCCACAATATCTGTACCTACTGTGTGAAAAAGGGAATGTTTTCTCACAGAAAGTTTAAATTCAAGGTGGAGGTGGAGATGGTTCTGGGCCTTCCATGGTACATGGAAAATGTGTGCAGTTTGCAGTAAGTCGGCCGAGAGATCAAACTGTGATGAAATGATTGAGAAACAACTCATGCAACACTTTAGTTCCCTTCTAGAATGTGAAAACATCCTAATTAGTATATATTATAAATATTTTTTAAGTAACATAATACTTCAAAATTACTGGTCATGCACTGACAATTGTTTGCAAGGATAGAAGTTGACAATAATTCCAATAGTTGTAATACATTCTTAGTTTTAAAAATGTAATATAATTACAGTTATTATGCATTCTAGTACTGTAAGTTTGTTTGCTTTAAGTCATGAGAAAAATCCTTAAATCTAGTGACCACAGAGAGACTTCTCTCAGTATGATGTCTGTAATGTATTATAGCTTAGGCTTGTTATAAAGTGTTGATATCTGTTTTGTTAATGTCAACAAGTAACCAGCTAAGTCATAATATCCCATCTGGTCAAGGAGACGTTAGAGAAGTTAATATTGTTGAGGAACCACTCCATAACTGCCTACAAATTTGAATAACGTCTGCAAATAAACTTGATTTCAGAAACGATTTTATCCCGCACAGGAAAATACACTCAGATCCCACTTTTAAAGGTAAATCTAATTCAATCCAACATAACTTGCTTATGAAACTCATATTGCTCTTGTTAAATGGGTCAAAATTAAAAGTAGTGATTAACTGGACCACATTATATTGAGAGGTGTTTGTTATTTGTTTGTCTCCTTCATTTACATACATAAGAGGTGACGAATATTACAAACACCTCTAAATATAATGCAGACAAGTACAGCACCACTGCTAACTATGACGCCAACCTATCATTTAAGAAACACCTCTATGGCTATCCACCCAAATAGAGCATCATAGGCATCACAAAAGAACACTTTAAGGCAGAACAGTTCAAGTGGATATAGATTATGTTGGACAGTTACTTAGTACATTAAATAAAGAATTGTAATTAAGTATTGAGGTACTTTTCTTGAGTAGTTCAGTTGCCTGCCACTTCACTTTTAATATTCTACTTTTCACTGCACATTTGACAGCTCAATCTGAAGATTCAAAATAAAAATACGAAAAAACAATAACATTGAAATGATCCACATTGGTGCATCAATTAGGAAAATTCTATAAATAATATGTATTTTTCTGTAATGGGCCAATGAACAGAATGAGTACCTTCACTTTAGGTATTTGAAGTGCATTTTGAAGCTAATATGTGTATACTTTTACTTGAATGCAGGAATTTACTTGAATATTTCTACACTGTGGTATACTTTTACTTGAGTAAAATATCTGACTACTTAATTTTCCATGGATTAAAAAGGTTTACAATTAGTCTCATTGGAAATCTGTGTTTGGTGCTATTTTACAAAGAGCACTAAACAATTAGCTTTCAGGATAAACCAAGACAGCGGGTGTTTCTCAATGTCGAGTACGCTTGCTTGGTAGCACATGTCTTCGGAGTCACTGGGTGTTTCTCAATCGCGAGTAAAGCTGCTGCAGAGCCACTATTTCAAGCATAGTACGTCATCGAGTGCCGCCGAAGTACTGTTCCAATGTCCAGCATACTTGGAATTCTACCGAGCCCGGCGTACTTCGTTTGGAGAAATGTCGAGGCTGCACATGTGTAGACTCTGCGGTCTTAAAATCCCCACAATGCTTTGCGCACGGACCAATTTCCCCAAATCTGTGGCGGAAAATGTAAGGCGGGGCCTCTCATATGACGCACACCTGCACACTTGCTAGCCTGTTCCACTCTTTGTTTTCCGAATGCCAGGAAGTATTCTTGCCTCGCTTCTGAAGCAAGTGACTCGGAAGACATGTGCTACCAAGCAAGCGTACTCTACATTGAGAAACACCCACTTGCTTCAGAAGCGAGGCAAGAATACTTCCTGGCATTCGGAAAACGAAGAGTGGAACAGGCGAGCAAGTGTGTGATTTGGGGAAATTGGTCCGTGCGCAAAGCATTATGGGGATTTTAAGACCGCGGAGTCTACACATGTGCAGCCTCGAAATTTCTCGCTACGAAGTACGCCGGGCTCGGTAGAATTCCAAGTATGCTGGACATTGGAACAGTCCTTCGGCGGCACTCGATGACGTAGTATGCTTGAAATAGTGGCTCTGCAGCAGGTATACTCGACATTGAGAAACGGCCAGTATACTTAGCAAATATTACCCGCTTAACATCTTCATGCTAGAAACGAGTGCAGACATGTTGAGGGGCTGTTGCTAGAAACTCATATAACCCCCGTTTGATTTGAAGTTAAATCAATATTTAGGGCTGTTAGTGGCATGGTACTTCTCCTTGATGTTAGCTTGTCACTGTTAGCACATTAGCATGTATCCACCTCTCAGCATTGCTTATCAAACACACTTCATGGACCATAAAATATGCTTTGGTAAATGAAATACAATTCTTTAATGTGAAAACTTTCCTGCTGCTAGTAAAACCGACACTGATCTCAGAGAATCCTTCATTTTCTCTGAAGACGTCGGACCTGTGCGAGAAAGGAAGTCCGTTTCCATCAATGCTTCTAAATCCCATAATAAAGAACTCTTGAAAAACAATAAACACTAAAGTCAATAATGAGAGCAGACTTTGCAGGATGTAAATTCAGAAGCAGTGATCCTTTCTTTGAGAAAAGCAAACAATGTTGGTCTCACATTATCCCAAGCTGGATTTAAAGTCTTTCATAGACCAAGAGTCCTGGTTGAATATGGGACAGAAGAAGCTGGTAATGATACCTTATGCTTATATCCACATTCACTGACAGAACAAAGCCAGGTGAAGGAGATTTATGTCCTTTCTTTGTCTTCCTCCAACGAAGGTTTTGATGTCTCCTCATTTTGCAATCTATCTATTACATGGTATTAAGCTAACGTTTTATCGAAAGCGACGAACATAAACGTAATACCGTCGACATGCGTACTGAGCAATTTGGGGTTAAGTAAGGACACCTTGACATGTTGACTGGAGAGGGTGGGATCCAACTGCTGACTACCTGGTTTGAAGAGCATCACATTAACCCTCTGTTCTGTTATAAATGACAGAGAGAGAGAGTGTTAAACAGTGAACACCTGTGATTGAGTCATGCATAATAACAACATGGAGGGGGAAGCAGTTATGAAAAAAAGTGATATACTGTTCTCTATTTCTGCTTTTGGTTATCTCAAGCAAAAATCAGTTTTAGAGTTTGTAGTCCAAACTGACACGGTTAAGTTCTGAGGGGCTTTAACTAAAGGTTCACCCATCTGGTAATGATTAGCTTATAAAACTGAGTTTGTAGAGACACGGACTTGGTGTTTGGCCTTGGGTAAGGATTTGACAGGAAACCAAGATTATGCAGCTGCACACTCCTATGCAACCACATCACACACCTGCAAGCACGAAGTGGAACCAAACCAAACTTCTGAAACTCAGACAAAACCAGCTCTGGCCAGCATGCTTGGTGCTGTGGTGATACTCTGGCAAAACAATGTTCTAATGTAGGCTGAGTTTCCAGACTAAATGGGGCATTGTTTGATCCCACCATGAAAGCCACATATGATCGTAACATCTTTACATATATTAGGTGGAAAATTAGATCATAGCTAATATATGCCAATAAATAAGGGCTGGCTCAGGCTTGTCTTGGGCATAAACTAGAGGCATACACGTTCCCTTTTAATTTGTCTTTTTCTCATATTATCCTAGCCTGTATGCACTCATGTCCCAAAACTGCATGTTTTTAAATTAGCATCCAGGGCATCTTTTCTAGAGTTTCTGTCTTTCGCCTGGCAGGTCGCCAGTATTAACGGTTAAGTCTTTATTATGATTCATGGCTGGGCCTGTTGCCGTGGTCCTGCAAAATGACAACTTTATTAAAGGCTGTGTGGGTTTTCCCTGTCCTGTAGTGTGTTATATAGGTTTTGGTGCATGTAAATGATCTGCAAAGACTCAAATCCCACAGTTTCCTCCAGAGGGAGTTTCTCTCCCACAAACTCCTTTGTTAACTTCTGTAACATAGTGACATCACTACGTAATGTGTGTGCTTCTATTGGCTAGCCCTCAAACACATTGCACATGATTTGCTAAGGGATAGGACATCTCTAAGCGGTTGACCAATCACAACAGAGCCGGCCAGCTAACCAATCAGAGCAGACTGGGCTCTGGTTTCAGACAGAGGGTGAAAAGAGGTGCTGCAGCACAGGCAGTATGAGAAAAATAAAGAGCTTTTTCAACATTAAAGCCTGGAGACATGTCACAGTAGAGACACTAAATACAAATATTAACCTGAAAATGACCATTATAGATAATATTCTTTCACAGTTAATTGTGGTTTTTGCTTTTCCACAACGATTTTCTAAGGACAGATGGTGTTGTATGGTGTACACATTGTAAAGCACCCTGAACAAAAGGTGTAATTTGTGATATAAGGCTATATCAATAAGATATGATTCATTTATTTACTGTCTTAAGATGTTATTTTGTCTTACATCATTTGTAAGCCCCATCAAGTCTGGGTCCACCTACACAGTTCCTGTAAGAAACAAACCTCCTACAGCCTTTCAGAATGAACTCACACTCATTCTCTCGATCGCGCCTTTTTCACTCGAATATTATCTGTTGTCGCCTTCCAACAGCTGAACAGTAATGCATCACTTTCTCAGAAACAGATGTCCTTATCAACGTCCCACCCATGAGCCCTACTGAGCCCTGCACTGACAGTGCAATCTGCATTATGAGAACAGAACAATCTGCCTCTAACAGAACCCCACTGCACACGTGAGAGACAATGTGAGGCGACAGCTGGAAGCCAAGGTGCAGCAACAAGTAGAGCAGGATTCTTGGCACAGTTGTTCCAGGAAGTCTTAAAGGGCCCATGTCATGCTTTTCTGGTTATTACCCGTCCCCTTGTGTGTTATGAAGCTTTTTCTGCATGTAAACGGTTTGCAGAGTCACAAACCCTCAAAGTACACCCTGTAGCGAGTAAAACTCTAACACAGAAAAGACCTGTCTATGCTGCCCCAGAACGCCTCGTTGGAGATTTCTCTTTTTCCATTGTTTGCTTCCTGGGTTCTGTGACGTGTCAATACCCAAATCAACAACAAATGACCGGATTGGCCCAAATGGACCAATCCGCGGAGCACCTCACACACCAGGATCCCTTGGCTAACTAACAGGGAGTCCCCATTGACTTGCATAGAGCTCCCTGAACGCTGGTAATAGACGAGTTGGGATGGCGGAGAAATGCTCTCCGCAGACCCATTCTCACAGCGTTATAAACCTTTTTCTTACTCAATATCAAGCCACACTTATTGTTTTTACTTCAGCTGTGAGTGTTTGTGTGTGCTCAGGATGAGTTTCGCTTGTTCTCGCTGTATCGCCGACCCGGAAACCTGTCCGCTCCTCGCAGCAGCTCGCAGCAGCGGCAAGCAGCAACGAGCCTCGCAACGTCCCGACCAATCAGAGCACACTGGGCTCACAGGGAGGGGGGGGCAGGAGCTCCAACAAGCCGTTTAGGACAGAGAGTGAATACACATATATGCTGTATGAGAAACCAATGTGAGTTTGGAAAATTGCACAATTTAAATCTATTCTAGTAGACCTCAACAATGGAATTATGATCAGTAGAAATGGCCATGACATGGGACCTTTAAAGAGAGTACAGTTGCACCATTGTAAGACGTTACTAAATAAATAGGGAAGTAGTGATTTCTAATTACGGCAACGATACTGAGCACACGAAGGTACAGAAGAGTATTAGAGTCTGGAAAAGGGGCAACAAATTGAGGAGGAAGATTTTGTTTATTTGAGTTTCGAGAATAAGTTTGAAATGTTGAGAATAATGTTCAATACCCTTAAGAACAAACTCCCCAAAAATTGAAAAGTAAAAAAACAAACACTTGTTGAATAAATTAGAAATCGTAGGGATTAAGTAAAAACATATTTTGGAAGTTTCCTACATTAATGTATACTCCTATTGATAAGAGGACCAATTGTGTATATATGAATATATGTACCCAATAAAATATCAATTGAATTGGTATTTGCTATATATTTGTATGTACATTTGGGAACGCTTCATGGAGGGGGGAAGGGTGGGATTGGGGGTTTACAACTTCAATGCTCAACCATTTGTGCTGTTATGAAAAACTGATAAATAAGGTTAAAAAAAAAGTATTGAAGAACAAACTCTAAAATCATGGAAATAAATAGAAAAATAATTTAGAAAATAAACACAAAATGTTGGAATAAAATGAATAGTCAAGAATAAACTCGAAATGTCAAGGATTAATGTCAAACTTTTCATCAATTCAAACTTAGCTCATATACGGAACATTTGACTTTAATCTTGAAATTAAAAGTAACAAAATAAATCTCCGTTTGTTTCCTTCTCAGCGCAGGCAGAACACACACAAAAGTATATTATGAGGAAGTAAGGTAAAGAGGAAAAAGAGGGGTGGGGATGATGCAACTCTCCTGGGGTCCTGCAGATGGATGATAAGCTATCTGTCTAATGGCAGCGCTGCTGATGCACACAGGGCTGGCTCCAGAAGACTGACATATTTGGCAACGTAATGACCCACGTTATAGTTAGGGCAGAAGTGAACAGTATACCGGTAGATATTTGTAACTTTGCATCCCCCCTTTATAATCTTTTTCAATGAAAAAGGCAGGATTCGTGCTGGCTGCTGATTATTTTCAAACTTTTTGCGTGTTATACAGATATAATATTCCTATATTTTAGAGGTAATACAAAGCATTAATTCACATTATTCTTAGCAAGCACAAAATATTTATTGTGTTCTTAATGTGGAGAAATATATATATATTTTTCCACATTAAGAGCTCTTTAATTTGTCTTTCAAACACTAACTCCTAAATGGGAAATCACATATAAATATTTAGAAATATTCATTGATTATCATCAACTTATTTTTACACCCCTATTGTACATGTATTACACCTACGTTACTACTGTTATTACACCCAATTTACACGTATGTTACACATGGACACAGCTTGTCAAATGACCGTTTCCCCCGGGACACAGAAACCATTTAAGGTTTAAAAAAGAAACACATAAGATTTGCATAAAGCATAACCAACCCTTAGAAAAAATCCTCTCCATGCCATCTTGTATTTTTCAAAAATTCAAATGATGCCCTTAATAACCCATTCTGAAAGCTGGTGTGCTGTATTTGGAGACAGCAGTGACACCAAGTGGTTGGTAAAGGAACAACATCATCAGTTAGGTAAAAAAAATATTTATTGGACAACGTTAGCCTCACAGACTTTTAGCAAAAGCAACTCTGCCTGTTTACATCGTTATAAATCACTCGCATCGTAATAAATCACTCACACACATCATTCAACTGACAAAAACACTTCCCGTCCACACACACATTAACACACACCTTCACATTGCAAACACATCATCTGCGTTAGTGGCTGGGTCTGAAGGGGAAAGGCATCCCCGTCATGAAAGGCTGAGCCGGGTACTGAGGGTGAGAGGAGGGGTGTGTGGGTAAAGGTGTGTGTGGGGGGTGTGGGGGGTGTGTGGGGTGTGAGGCGATGGGGGAATGCGCTGCGTGCGGGCTGAAGGCCATTGCAGGAGAGTGGATGTTGTTGTAGTACATCACAGGGCCGGACAACACCAACTGGAGCAAACTGGGGGAAAAACAAGGACAAAAAGTGAGTAAATGTTTGTATGGAAGAAAATATATATAAATAATAGTACAATTTAAATCTGTCTTATATGGTGTAAGTGTACTATTTTACGTATTATAAAGTGAATGGAATTTAATTGAATAAGTCATTTTTAGGTACATACAAAACAAGGATTGAGAAACATCCACAATACAAAAGGGCCTCCATAAAAACAACAATTAATCGTCAACAATTGAACGACTAATTGTTGTCTAAAGACGCTACTTTACAAAATCTAAAAATACTTGCAACTCGACTTGTACCTCAACCCCAATGGTTTATGACTTGAAAATACATGCTACCTTCCCCCACCTTAAAGATTAAAAAGTGTGACATGAAATGAGTCATTCCCCTTCATTTCCTGTATCACCTATTGATAATACTATTTATTCTTAGGTCATGAAATGTGTGTTTTGTGACTCAAGTCCAAACCTCTGCATTTTAAGCGCAGGTGTGAAAGCTGGGGATCGCTTTATAGATTTTGTTGGGAGATTTGACGACAGTTCACCAAATCCCTCACTTCATTTCAACAAATATGACAACAATCAATCAGGTTACTGGAAACAACCATGAATTATTAATTTGACTGATAATCAGTGGGAAAAACTCAAAGCAAAATCAACTTAGTCTGCATACAACATGGTGGTCAACAAAAATGAGCAGGTGGAGACACAATGTTATTTGTTTACGACTTGAAACTCAAAACTAACGTCTTGGCACTTGCCAGTCTTGACTTGGGACTTAAGCACAAACATTTGAGACCAACTTGTGACTTGCAAAAAATGACTTGGTCTCACCTATGATCAAATCTAAAATCTCATCAGGGATCTACCTCACTGTGTAGGATCCTGTTCTAAACTGCAAAAATATTCAATGGTTATATTTGAAAGAAAAAAGATTTGGTGGGGTACAGATGTGTTAAAATGGTGGTCAAACCCGAAAGACAGGTGTTGCAGCTATCGCCATTTAAATGAAGGAATACATTCTATTGTAACCCGAGCCACTTCTCTCTAGATCGAGATGAAACCAGGCGACCATGGACAAGATCTTAGGTCCAATGGGCTTAAGACAGAGGATGGTTCTTACTTGTTGTGTGGCAGGCGGGAACAGATGGCTCTCAGGTCCTCTGCAGAGAAGGCAGCATGGAATAAGCAAGATTAGACAATCCATATGACGAGGGATCAAACCTGTTAGTTACTTGTTCATTCATCAATTCAAATCTGTAGCTTTCCACACAGCTAAATCATTAGCCTAATAATCATTTTGGTTTTGGTGCGTTTAATATATATATAAGAAATATGAAAATGCAATAGCTAGGAAACAGATATAAGGGTTTATGCAGATAATGCAAACATAGCATGATTAGTGGAGCTTCAACTAGTCCTCACTGTTCTGTAAAAGGGCCTATTTGTTTTATGACACCTCACACGGATGGAGTCTTTGAGGTCTCTCTTATAAAAGCACAATGTATCCCAAGAACATTCCTGGATACATAAAAGATAAAGAAATGTAGATACCAGCTTTATTGAGTGTGATAATAGCATAACAAATAAATAAAGACTTATAAAAGTGTTTGTTGCTGTATGTGTGCTTTGTACAATAAAGAGAGATGAGGCCACTGTGCTGCAGGGGGTCAATAAGCATCTACCAATCAGAGGGTCAGCAGTTTGACCCCAGCCCCTGCACCATGTAGAAGTGTCCGTTGGGAAGATACTTAACAGCTTTGGATAAAACATTATGTAATGTACACTCAGCTGAGTTTTAATATTTGTCAAGTTCATGACAAATGAGGCCCAATAATGCAGCTTCTTTTGCCTTTGAGGCCAACTATGACAAGTGTAATGTATATGTTATGAATGTCCTCTATGCTTCTATCCCTTCTCTCACCTCTGGAGCAGAGCAGCGCCCCATTGGCCATGGACACCTGCAGAGCCTGAGCCAGCCGGTCCAGGGCGAGCTGAGGCAGCGCTCGGGTATCTGTGGATGGGGCGTGTTTGTCCGCCTGGTCCAACAGCCTGGAGAGGTCAGAAGTCAGCGAGGCCAGAGACTCCATCTGCAGCAGCGCCAGGCGACCGTAAAGACCCTTCTCATTCAGGATGTTCGGCAACAGCATGAGGACCTGAGAGTGGTGGGAGGAGACGAGTTTAAAGATCTCATTCTGCTTTCAAAAGTTCAATTGGAATTCAAGATAACGTATGTATCTACATGCTTGTATGTGTGAGAGGGGATGTCATATTATGTGATGTCAACTAGGACTGCCCCTAATTAGTCCACTATTACTTCTGTGCTTTGACACGTCAGTTGGAAAACCCCTCAGACTTCACTCATTAAGGTTATTTTGTGTCTTTCTGAGCGAGAACAGGACGAGCCCACAAGGGGACATGAGAACTCCGCAGCAAAAAAGGTCTCCTCCATATCAAAGTCATCGGAGAGCAGCTTCCTGAGTGCCGGCTTTATAACAAAACACAGAGCTTAATTATCCCCGACAACGTGTGTTCCTCTCTCAGACTCGGAGGAAAAACGCAGCAGTGAGTCAGGCAGTAGCTATAATATATAATCATTCTGACCTCAGAAAACCATCAATTCAACCTTTCATTTCATTATGAGGGCGTCATTTGCAGAGGGATTTTTGCCGACGCGCATATCTTCAGTGTTTCCGTTTCCTATGTAGTATTTATTGGGTTGTTATATTCAGATATGAATTATAGGCACTAGAACTAAAATGCTCAGTGTGTGTCCTCGCTGCTTGTTCCGACACACATTACAAATCCTATACATATATTTGATGCAAGGCATAACGTACCATGCTGTTAAAAATAACGTTCTTTATCAGCCTTTGAAACTGAAAACGTTTTCGGTTGAAAAAATAAGTGAATTAGTTAACTGATTGCCTGAATTGACGACTAGAAACATCTTGTATCGAGGGCAGCCCTAATGTCAACTGTTTTTGATCCTCTATGTGTTTTTTTTGGAAGACATTAAATCAAGTAAGAGTTTGAAATATTAAACGTAAGACACTCAAACCTGCACTCACTCAGAAAAAAATACAATTCTTTCTTAGCAAATGGGCAAAACCTCAAATGTGCTCTTTACTCAGACTTATAAACATCCAGCTGGGAGGAACTGCTTTTGCAAAATCAGATTTTCCCTTTACAGCCGTCACACATTGACAAGTGCTTCCAGCTCAGCTTTTAGGGTGAACACTTTTTCCCCATAGTGCAGTAAAGAAGTATTGATATATTATTTGACTGTATTATATTGGTTATTGCACATACCTTCTTCTTATGTTTGTATAAATCTTTTATTTTATTAATCCTTTAATTATATTTTATTCTAAAAATAAAAATCCAATTTTCCCGAGGATAAATGTAATAAAATCTGATTCTGAAAATGTATATTGAGCAACCATTCTTGTCAACATAACGTAATTATATATTTCTTAAATGTAAAATGTAGTGGTATTTATAATCCATAGATCTGTACTCTGATCTTTCTGTATAAGTGCTTGTTGATGAAATGAGTAGCTGCACAGAAACTGCACATGGAAATGAGCTAATAGCTAATAGCTTCTCTTTTTGAGATGAATGTACATGTATGCCTGGTCCTCGTTTGATAAAGACATGAGATGATCCTCATGTTGTTGGTGTTTTGCAGTTTGTACATACATGTGTACTGTGGGTAAATGTATCTCACGCACCTGTAGGACGCTCAGATGGAGAGCAGAGAACAGAGGCCCCACCTCCCCCTCTCTCTCTGTGCTGCCATTGGTCAAGGCCTGCTTCTTGTCTCCCTTGTCTCCCTTGTATGCTAGGGGGGCTTTAACGCACCAGCGCATCAAGCCCCCTAAAGGTGTGACATCCAGTGAGCTGATTGGGTGATTGCCGGAGAGGGGCGTGTTCAGGAAGTTGATGAGGACTAGACGGGGGTCGTCTTGGATCCACGACACAATCATCTGGAGGAGTTCTAACGGGGGGGTGAGCTCCTCTGAAAACACACGCAAAGATAAGAGAAGGTGAATAAAAAGATGAGAACATTATGAGGAAACTTTTCAGGGAATTCTCTCATTTAGATAAAGCTATTGCACATATGCAAGTTAACTGGAAGTTCATTCATTCCTATGGGAACCTCTGTGATCTTCATTGTTTTTGCTAAATTCCTCCTTTCATAATTTTTTTTATCAGAAATGTATCTGAAAAATGTGACCATTTATCAGAGTTAGCTAGCATTTTGGGCTTAGCATTTTATGCTAATGTCTTGTGGACTGGGCTAATAGTCAAATAATGTTTCCATATAGCTGACACATACAAGTTCATTCATTTCCATGGAAACCTCAGTCATCTGCTCTGATTTTGATCAACTGCCTTGAGTGGGTGAAAAAGTGAAACCTTTAGTGGCAGTTTAAGGAAAGACCATATGCTAAAAAAGTGTTTTGCTCACTTCCTGTGGAATGAGTGAAATAGTTGAATTGTGTAATTGCATAATAAAACAAATTCAGCTAGTTTAATTAACACTTGAATTTAAAAAATGTTATTTTTGCTAAAATTGCAGATGGTTAGCACAGCCTACGCCACCCAAATCAAAGTTTGATAAAAGTGGGATTATTACATGAAGTTATACTTTCTATTATTCTGTAGTTGTGGTCCTGTTTCTGTTTGGCAATGTTCACACGAGGGGGCGTACACCACACAGAATTACTGTCACAAAACTGTGTGGAAACACAGTGTTAGTCAACAAACAATTGACTAACTGCATTCCAGCCACCCCAAAAAAAATGTACAACGGGAAAATCTCTTTTTATAGTTTTTTAGGGCCCAGTTTTAGATGTGTTTTGGTGCTTTGGTGTTGTCCCACCTGTGGTGAGGTCGTAGAGCGTGGTGACAGCCGTGATGAACTGGCAGCAGAAGCGCGGACTGGCACTGTGGATGTTCTGCAGCGTGGGCCCCGAGCCCGGCACCAAGCTACAGTAGTCGTCTACGAGAACCTGAGCCAGCCGCACACAGTACACACGGTGCGTTCTCTGGGGACACAAACAGAGTCATGTTCAGGACATACATTTGGAGTTAGAAGGGAGTTGAAATATCTCACATGACTTTGAGTACTCAATCAAGACAAGCCTCCGCCTCAAGGTCTAAGCTCTAAGACTGCATAGAAGTATAAAAAGTTTAAAAAAGGTATAACATGCAATATATATATATATATTTATATTTAAATAAAGCTATAAGCTTCGCGTCGGGCCGAACCACGCCCCTTAGCTGTGATATAATGAGCATATATCACGGCCTGAAGTGAGCTATTGCTTTAATAAAACGGTTACCAAATGTGGCAATATGAAAGAAAAATACACACTCTAATTCAAATAGTTGTTATTAGTAAATAATGATGTTCAAAATAAAATAGTCCCTCCGTTGCCTTCTGCACAAAACATAATGCGAGGTGGTTGCTATGCAACAACACTAACAGCTAGCTATATTAGACAGACAGCGTTGATCCATTATTTGGCTATTCATTTACATTAATGTGTATGTTGCCATTTGTTGTGCAGCCACTGAAAAACTGTCCAGCATCAGTAGCATGGCTTACGTGGTTACTTGTATAGGCTGAGGTTGTTCTAGGCTGTTGCTTGGCGTGGCGAGAATATTGCTCCACTTTCTCCGGTCCCCGAGATTCGGCTTCCAGTAGCTCTGGAGAGAGCTTTCTCACCTGTGGCCACTAACGGTCATAATTTCTCTGCTTTGTTTCAAGACCCGCATCAGAAAGCTTTTGAATGGTGATACTTTTCCAGTTGGTCTACCTGCTCTTCACGTAGCTCTACATGTCGTCGTTTAGGTGCTTTTTTTTTCTGGAGATAGGCACTGCTCAATCCATTCCTCCATAGTAAGGCCACCCCGGAGGTCGAAGTTAACCTTAAATGTTTCCATCTTAAGCTTTGTTAGTTAGTTAGTTTCGTTTTTCTCAGACGCGGAGGGATACTGACTTGAGAAAAGTAACTACAATTCTACCCGTGATATACGCTCATTATATCACGGATAAGAACCAATCAGATTGCTTGATTTGACTTATCGTTGTATATATATATATATATATATATATATAGATATATAGATATAGAGATATAGATATAGATATATATATATATATATATATATATATATATATATATATATATATATATATATATATATATATATATATATATATATTATATATATATATATATATATATATATATATTATATATATATATATATATATATATATATATATATATATATATATATATATATATGATCTGTACATGTATTGTATGCATATGCAAACGTTTAGGCCAGTCAGTATTCTGGTTGTCTGCTACAAGTGGTCATTAATATAATTTGTATCCAGTTTCAAGGCCCTTTTCACAATATGCTTTGTAGATATAGGTCATTTTTTTTGTTTTTATTTTAACCATGAGAATGGTTTTAGTCATTGAAAGTCTGGATTGAAGTATTCTTAAAAACATGCTAAACAAACCCTAGCGGCAGCCAAAGATTGCAAGTGAAACTGATTTGTTGCATAACTGTCTTACACAAACAAGCTGGGCCATCATTAGTGGCAACTCAGCTAACAGCCCCAATTATCTGGCGAGCTGCGACGGAAAACGCAGATTTTCAACGCAACACCGCTTTATTTGGTGTTTTTACCAAATGTGATCAACTGGTCTCTTTGTTTTGGAGAGGAGACATCTACATTTAATTCACCTCTTGTTGAAAACCTCCTGAACAATGAACAGTACTAACCGACAGGGGTTGACTGCTAACAAACTCCACTGTCCCATTTTCCCATGCTTCCTCATGACGTCACCAACCTCTGACTTATGTTATTGTCTTGTGCCAGATATTTTCACATCGTGATTTAAAGTATGTATGCATGCTTGACTCCTCACCTGTAACCACGAAGCAGCACATTCCAAGATAGGAACCCTGCCCACAGCAATTGCCATGGAGACCAGTTTGCCTAACAGCGCCATCCGACTTTCGTCTGCCTGGTTGCCTTGGAGACTAAAGAGGGCAGAGAACATAAGCTGACGGACAGTATCACGACTCTGCTCTTGGAAACAGCTGCACATGATCTCCAACAGCTGGAGCTCCTGGAGGGCACTCATCCTCTGAAAGAAACACACAGACAGTTAAATGGCTGCCTCTATGTGTGTGTTTATAAAGTGTATGTACATGTGGCGGTCATTACCCTGGCTGGTGTGTTTCTGTCCTTCGGTGCATGAAGAATGAACTCCTCCACCAGCTCCTGGGTTTTGGAGTCCACCTGGGGGGGCTGCCGGCCGGACTGCACCAGGTTACAGATGTAGATGTCCAGGTGGTACAGCAGCTCCTTGGCTGCATTCAGCACGTCGCGAGGCAGCAGCGACTGACGGATGTCACCCATCACCACCTGACAGAAACCCATACAAAATTCATTTCAAAGGTTTTATTGTCATATGCACATACAGTGTAGAAATGGCAATGAAATTCTTCTGACCCGAGCTCCTCCAACAATGCAACATATATAATAGAATACAACAATACAAATAAAATGGGACACATTTAAAACCTTCATGACAAGTAAAATTGATGAAAGTTTAAAATGGACAAGTTAAAAAACTGCTTAAAAATAAGAGTGTAATGCTGTAGTTAACTGGGATTTTCAACATTTAATTAATTGGCATTATGGTCATATAACAAACACAATGCACTAATCTTCAGCCATTGTTTACTTTTCCATTCACGTAAGACGAACAACGACTGTAAAACGACCAATAAAGAGAAAGTAATTACAATCTCGAGTTTTAACGTTACATATCTATCACTTTGTATCAGGGTTTCAAACTGTAGGTTGTCAGTCAACTCTTTCCAGGCTGAGGAGCTCACAGTCAGTCGCTCTCCTCCATCCTGCTACAGCTAGGGCTAGCAAGGTTAGCTACAAATACTGGTTTGTAACCCGCAGCAGCTTCAATGTGCGTTAGTTATGGTCTGAGCCATAACAATGAAACACAAGTATTTAGCTAAGCTCTTACCTCTGGGGAAAGCCCTTAATATACTTAATAAATTAGCCGACGTAGTGACTAGTGAATTGTCTCAGTGCGACGAGGGAACCACTTCCTGCTGTACGGAAGCCCGCGTAGGATAAAACGAAGGCAATAGGCGTTTTAACGCGCGTGCTAAAATGTCAATACAGAAATGTATTTCATAATTAAAATCCAAAAACAATAAAGGCATATTATTTATTTAAATCAAAAAATAAACCACAACTACATAAAATGTAATATTTCAATGTAAAACGATTGAAATATGTATTTATTATGGCTCTACACTTATAAGATAACAAAGACTTTAGGGTTACATGTTTTAATGTATTCATAGTCTTAAACGGGCATATAAAAAAACATTGCTCATTAATTTGTATTAATAATATTTGAAAATAAAATGTATTAGCCTATTTAACCAAACATAAAGTTTAAAAACCAAACTTGATGTTTGTCAAAAAAATACCTGTAAGTGGTTCTCTATATCTAAATGTGCTATTGATATTATTTGTATGCTAACTGTTTTTAAATATGTTTTTTTTCCTCAGCATACTTGCAATAAGTACATCGAAAAAGTAAATATACATAAGCTATAAGAAACTAAATACTGAAACGGAGATATAAACACATGTTGTTGTTTTCATTCTGTACAGGAACTTTATATCATATTCAAATCACTTTGGCACATTAATCCTTTCTAATCTACACAGGGGCGCGCGCACCAGGCGCCGGACCGCCTGCTGGGGAAAAAAAGGAAAGAGAGTGCACGCTCTGCTGCGCGCTCCCGCGGACAGCACTTCGGTCTCCAGCACTTTACCGTCCCGTCGAGTGATTCAAAGCATCCCGCAACAAGATGACCATCAACACCATGGCTAAAGGAGGCTGGCACCGGGATCAAATGTCATGCTTTCGAAAGGTAAGAATATGTTATTCTGTCTCCTTTCGTTTCATCATGTAAAACAATATACTGTATATCTATATATAACCCTGAGTAAATCCTACAGCATGGTGATGATGAGAACAAGTTATAAAAGGGTAGAACATGCATTGTTAATCTCATTTTCTGACTTACTTAGTTTGAGTTACTTTTTGTGTTATTATTTTCTATTTTCTTTGCATCTGCATGTGCATGTGCATCTGTGTGTGAATTTGTGTCTGTTCCCTTGACAGATGGAGAAAGTGATTGTGGCCATGCAGGACCCTGACATGGGCATGAAGATGAGAAACCAGAGGCTCCTTATCACCGTCATTCCACACGCTATGACAGGTATGTGTGTGAGTGTGTGTGAGTCCCTTTATGTCAGAGTGCATTACCTTCTGTGTGTGGACATGCAGCTTGTGTGTGTGTCCCAGGCAGCGATCATGCATAATGCAGCAGTGATTTTTGGAGAATACTGTGTGTGCTTTTCAGAGTAGAGGAAGGAAGTTTGTCTCTTATGTCGGTCTCTTTTTTTTCTTTCAGGCCGTGATATTATTGACTGGTTGATGAAGAAATATAATATCTGTGAGGAGGGTAAGTAATAATACAATTTGTGTGAAGAGAGTATTTGCTGTGTGATTTCCGTTTCCCTTGCTTGTTGTGTGTCGTTGCTATAGCTGACATGGTAATGCTGTGTGTGTGTACATGTGTGTGTGTAATAGCGGTTTCCAGTAAACAGAAATGGGGTGAGCCCCAGAGGATAAAAGTTTGATTAACTCACCTGATGATCTGGGTTTGATTAGCATCCCTGTGGATGAACCTCAGGAGACTTTTCTGTACCTGAAGTAAATTAGAGGTTGGAAAAAATAGCCCATAGGTCCCTTTTGGCCTGAGAGCAGACTTAAGGAGGAAAGAGAAGAGCCAGTCAGCAAGAGAGAGAGACTGGTAAGAGCTGATTAGAATGCATAGCACAGCTCTTTTTTGGGGTAGCTGTCAATCATAAAGTAGGGCTCTTTACCAAATGAGGAAAGACTGAAGATTGATGACGCTTTCATCACTGGGTCTTGATTTTTGAGAGATTGCTGGCAGAGTATGAATGTTTGATTAAAAATAAAACAAATGTATTTCAGCTGCAGAAATTAGTAGCCTATAACTTCTATTATTGGTAAATCATAGGAAAAAGTTTTTTTTTAATGCAAAATTGGCAACAAAAAGTTGTTTTTTAGACTCAAATATGGAGGTTCCCTTCTTGTCTGTTTCATATCATATTAAAGTGAATCCTAGGAATCTGAGTATCTGGGATGGAAAAATGTCAACATTTTCGTACGTTTCATAGACCTAAAGAGAGGGGTGAAAATAATCGTTGGTGGCTGGTTTAATAAGCATTATTGATTTTCCATGTTATGATGGTTCAATTTGAGAGCTTATGAAAAATCTCTTTCATGAGACATCAAACAAATAAAAACCTAGATATCCTCATATGTAATTACTTAGCGTAGCCTAATAATGTCTCCTATAAACAGACATCAAAACATTTACGGTATCCTTAAAGGTTGAAGTAAAAAGCTGGACGAACTACTTTAAGTGTATAGCCCCGATGAGTTTCTTCTGTGGTGTTTTACAGAGTCGCTGCACATCAGTGGCCTGCTGGTGAGGTACGGGTACATTTACCCCCTCAAGGAGCCCCGATCTCTGGTGTTACGGCCCGACGAGTCGCCCTACCGCTTCCAGGTTAGTCATTCGTTGCTCAGTATAATCATTTCACCTGCTGGTAAAGAAAACACCATCAAGTGTAAATGCTGAATCACTTTTGGATATCCCTCCTTCTATTCCACTTTCTAATCCCCCTTCCATCTGCCCCTTTGCACTTTTTACCCGTTTTACGATACATTTCTATCAGAAATTTGTAACAATTTTGCTTGTTTTTTTCAGACTCCTTACTTCTGGACCAGTACCCGCTGGCCTGCATCAGAGCTAGACTATGGTAAGGCAATCCAAAAACAAACTGAAGGGTCAAGAGGAATGATCAGTTAAGTACTTTTATGTATTTAAATAGGATGGAGAACATTTTTCACCCACCATCACATTTTAAAATATAAACAAACTACCAATAATTCTAAGCAACAAAGCTTCCAGCTCAAATATAACTTTTAACAAAAGTTCTGATTTATACATAGATAGCATTTACATGAGATTTATGCAAAACATATGGGCAGAAACCTCCTAACCTCTTATTTCTTTCTTGACTGTTTCTGTGGTCCTTTGTACGTGCCATCAGCCATCTATTTGGCTAAAAAGAACATAAGAAAACAAGGAGAATTGATGGAATATGAAAAGGTGAGTAACGTGTGAGTGTGTTAAAGAAAGACAGAGCATGTGTCAGTGCATCATGAATTATGCAGTAGTCTGGGGTACCAGGCCCATGTCATTTGAACTCTTCACTATTCTAGTCCTATTCTCTCGGTTTTCATTTCTTATTCATCCCTGGTTCTTTTTCCTCTTCTTTTTTAGGAGAGGTACAGTGTGTTACACAAGAGGATCAACCACACCTGGGACTTTGTGGTGATGCAAGCAAGAGAGCAACTCAGGTACTCTCACACTCATACACACACATACAAACACATGAACACACACATCCTTACAGTGTGATCTATGTTTAGAGCATCCAAACAGAGGAGGAAGGCAGACCGCATTGTTCTAGAATGTCAGGAGCAGGCCTACTGGCTCATCAACAGACCCCCGGTACGTTATTCAACCTGTACTGTGATGTATTGAACTATATACTACACTATACAATACTATACTAATACCATACTATATCTTTCTCCACCGTAATGGATTAGACTATACACTACTATACTAAACTATATTAAACTATACTTTTCTCTTCCGTAATTGATTAAAATACACAGTATGATACTATACTATACTATACAATAGGATATTCGATACGATAGAATGCTATACTATACCACACTATACTATACTTTACTTTACTATATTGCATTAAATACTAATATACAGTACGAAACAATGCTATACTATGTCCTTCTATGCCATACCACACTAAACTATACTATAGTATAGTTCTCTTTACTGTGATAGATTTGAAAACATACTACACATCACTATGCTATGTTATGCTAGGTTTTTCTCCACTGTATTGGGTTAAAATAAATACTAAACTATAGTATAGTACTATTCATAATACAATATTATGCTATTCTATATGATAGTGCACTTACTCTACTACTTTTCAAACCTGTTCTATATTATACTATAGGCCTGCTATCCTGTGTCGTGCATCACTAAACCTGCTTATATTATATTTTCAATGTACAATACTGTACTATGCTATACTATAATACTCTTGACCATACTTCTATAGAAACATGTTTTACAGAATTAAACTCTCTGAAGTCCCACTAATGTTCCCTCACAGTCCCTTCTGCCTCACACATGAAATATTCAACCCATCTGGTAAAAGCTTCAGCTGACAACAGGGGAAAGAGAGAGAGAGGGAATGAGAATGAGAATATATGAGAGAGAGAGAGAGAGAGAGAGAGAGAGAGAGAGAGAGAGAGAGAGAGAGAGAGAGAGAGATAGATAGATAGAGAGAGAGAGAGAGATAGATAGATAGAGATATATCAGTCATCATATTCATCTTTCTTTATGTCGCCCTGACATCATAGCAGTCCATTTGTTTTAAGAAGGAGACAGGTAGAGAGAAGGACCAGAGAGAAGGGAAGGAAAAGTGGATGTATGTCTGTTGGGGGAGGGAAGGCTGCAGGAAGGCCAGTGGAGGTACTGTGGGCAGAGCAGAGGTTGAAGCCGAGGGCAAGGGTTTGCAGGAGGGACTCCATCTTGTATTGCTCTTATAAATTAGGGACGAGGACATGAAGAAAAAGAAAGAGAAACTCGAGAGTAAAAATCAGAGCCAGTGGAGTGGAAAGCTCAGGGAAGGATAAGTGCTCACCCACGCGCACAGGCTCATCACGCACACACACACATAAGTGTGCTTATGTGTGAGTATTTGTTTTCAGCCCGGGGCACGTAGTGTGTTGGACATGGGTCTGGAGAGACCAAATAACACCGCACGAGTTACACTGGTCAGTGACATCATCACGTTTTTTACTTCCTGTTTGACTGTTTATTCCCCTTTGAAAAACTCAATGTGATAACACCTCTTCTATGTATCTCTTCTCTCTTTCTCTTTGTTGCTGCTCTGATTTTTTCAAAGTAAGTTTCCAAGACAGCTATGCTATACATTGGACAATTACAGAATGTTATAATGTTTTAAAGAGGGGCCCCTTTTTTGGAAGTTTCCCTTTCCTGTAGTGAGTAATGTGGGGGAAACTTCTGTGTAGCAATGCAGGAGGAGTCACCGACTCAAAAGGAGACACAGGGAGAGCTGGAGCTTTGATGTCAAACACTGATGGGTTTATTTAGGAGCTTCGGCCGGAGAATTCACAAAACAAGTCAAAGAGTCAGAGGTTCTGACTTCACGGTAGAGTTGCCACGTCAATTCTGAAGAACTCTACCCCAGACCCGTGTATTTAGCTAGTTCAGAGAGAATAATCAACATTGTGCATAACAAGATAGAATCATAACACCTCTATCAGCTGACGCCAACAGGCAGGAACAGGGAGACAAAACACTGAGAGCACAGCAGCCAAGGCTACAGGTGTGTGTGCTCAGTCAGGACAGTATGAACTGATAAACTGGGTAACAAGTAACATAGGTTTTTATCTAAAATCCCAAAGTTCAAGGCAGAGGGAGTTTCTCTCCCCCTGTCTAAAATGCCACAAATGTAGTCCTTTGTTTACTTCTGCAATATAGTGACATCACTATGTAACACTTGCGCTTCTATTGGCTAGCGCTCCAACACATTGTACGTGATAAGGGGGAGGGGACATCTCTAAGTGGTTGACCAATCACAACAGAGCCGGCTAGCTAACCAATCAGAGCAGACTGGGCTCTGGTTTCAGACAGAGGGTGAAAAGAGGTGCTGCAGCACAGGCAGTATGAGAAAAATAAAGAGCTTTTTGAACATTAAAGCATGGAAATGTGTCAAACAGTAGAGGCAAAAAATACAAATATGAAACCTGAAATAAGCACAATAGGGCACTTTAACATTTTAAATAAAGGTTACTTTATGCCATACAGAAGTTACGGCAGATTAAAACAATTACTAATAAGCAGCAAAACATAGAAATACCCATTTGTGATGATAATTAAACATATACTACTTTATGACACGTGTATAACCTCCCACTGTGAATTTCTTATTAGCCAGAATATATGGGGTTTTAATATTTAAAGCCTGAACACATATAGAAAGCAGGAAAGCTGCCTTCTACTACTGATATGATTCAGTTTAAATGCATAATACAGTTATTGTGTGACTTAAAGTGATGACACTGCGTTTCTCTCACAGAACTAGAACAGTGAGCACTACAAAAATGAGGTAAACATCATATATAATGTATACACCTTCACTTTAAGTACATTGAGTGTACATTAAAGCGTGCAATGTGTGAGTTAACATTTCTGCTTCTTGCCTTTGTTTACAGATTGACACCTGTAAAAGGGCACTTGGAAGAAACCGTGTAAAGTCATCCATCTGCCTGGAAGGGTACGTGTCAGTTTGACGAACACACGTGCACACACAAACATACACACAAGGACTAATGGACTTGAAGTCTTGCAGCGGCTGAACTCCAGCTCTCCAGCACGCACGCACATGCACATAAGGCTTAGTGCTCCCACTATAAGAGCCACTAATGGATGCTTCCTGAGCATGCTTCCTCCATTAACTGTTATGATCTCACTAATACAATAATACTGTGTGTGTCTGTTTGTGTGTGTGTTTTTGTGTGCGTGAATGCCTCTACATTTGTGTGTACGTCCAGTTTTGTGAAATACAGCGAGCAGTACCAGAACCACGACCCCATTATGCAAGGGTGCCTTCCAAGCAACCCCTGGATCTCTGATGACTCCGCTCATTGGACAATGAATTTAGAAATGTGAGGAAATCCACACTTCTCAAACGGAGTCATTTAGTTGATCATGTTTCAGGTTTTGTAGCATCTCTTAACGTATCACTTCTTTTTTTTTGTGTGTTTGCGTGAGCAGGGTACCTACACCGACACGTCTCCGAGTGGAGCGTTGGAGCTTCAGCTTCATGGAGCTTCTCAATGACGAGATGGGGAGGCGGGAGTTCATGACCTACCTGGAGAAAGAGTTTAGTGGTAAGCAAGAGTGACAAACATTTTGGAATGTTAACCAAGTTCAAAATATCAAAAGAGAACACGGGTTGAACGTTCATGCTAATGATACACTGCCGTTCATCTCCTTATCATCCAATGACATTAGCCCTAAAACACTTCAATCATAAGACAGGTTGTAATTATTGGAGCAATTGTCCAGAGAGAACAAACCTAAAACAAAAGAAAGTGCAACGGTTTCTATCCAAGGAAGATAAGAGGAGACCCATGCATGCTTTTATCGCAAGCAAGCTTAATTTACTGCAATGCTCTACTTTCTGGTCTACCTCTGAATGCTATAAATAAGCTACATATCGTGCAGATTGACGCATCACGTGTACTGACCAACACCAGAAGGAGAGCACATATCTAATCTCGTTCCCTTCATAGAACCTTTTAAGAATCTTTCATTTGTGTTCAAATAACTCAACGAACTAGTACTTGAAAACTTGTCAGACATGCTGTCCCTGTATGCTCCCTCTAAATCCCTAAGGTCCTCTGACACTGGGCTTTTAATTAATTAATTAATTTTTAACCTTAGGGGAGGTTTAATTTAGTGTGTGGCACCACCATTTTTCAATAGCCTGAATAACCTGAAAATACATCTTAAAACATACTTTTTTAGTTTGGCATTGTCCTAATATTATTACTGTACATTTTAGATAGCCTATCTTTACTGTGCTTTTTTTCATTACACCTCATATTGCAATTTTACAGAAAAAGTTAAAGTTAAATTCAAATCTTAAAACTTTTGGTTATAACGTTTCGTAATTAGAGTCAATCCAATTTAAAATTCAAAAAAAGTCAAATCCAATTCAAACACAAAATATCAGATATTTCTTTCATCTATTTCTATTCAAAGCTAATTTCTGTTTAACATGTTGAATCACTATTATATGGTAAAAATTGGAGATGGAATACTGCAAACAAAGTTATATATGGAGAAGCTAGAAATATTAATTGGATTGTTATCATAGGAAAATCATCTCAAATCTATTCTAACTCTTATAAGCATTCAGCATTTAATTAGTTCCCCTAGTAACATTTTCCAATCCCGGCGGTGATAATGGAACAGTTGAGGTAGTGGAAGATTCATTTCATGATATGGTTATTTGAGAGGATGGAAAGAATAGATAAGGAATAGGTGACATGAAGAAGAAAAAGGATCTGTTCATCCATGCATATGAAATATTCCCAGGAGCCAAAGTTTTCCGCAGAGGGCAGCGATGCTATAAAAAGTCCCTAATTGTTTGTCACATTTTCCTGCGTCATTGTTGTGTTATTCACCACCATACGTTCCTAACACCTGATGATCTGTCTCTCTGCTAGGGGAGAACCTGGGTTTCTGGCAGGCCTGTGAGGATATTAAGCATGGAGAAAGTTCAAGGATCGTCGAGAAAGTGGAAGAAATCTACAGGTAAGCGTAAAAGCAAACAAACAAGCTGAAATAGACACGTATAATAGGTCAGATGACTGCCATTCTTTCGTGTGTGATTCAGAAACTTCCTGGCTCCGGGAGCTCCCAGATGGGTCAACATCGACAGTAAAACAATGGATAAAACTCTATCGGGGATCAGACACCCACATCGTTTTGTCATGGAAGATGCACAAATGCACATCTACTTTCTCATCAAGAAGGTTTGACCACTGATCCACTGTAGTTTGGAACTTTAACCATTGGATATAGATCTTAAAATACTGCACAATTATAATTTCTTGCCTCTTTTTCCTCAATCAATTCTACCGATTATTTTCCAAGCCATGCTACTGTGGGAAGCATATACATGTACTTTGTCCTCACTTCCATGCATCAAATGGCTTTAACTTAAATTCTATAGAATATGAAAATCCGCCTTTTTTAGTATTTGGAATTATGTCATTTATGAGGACTTTCAAGTCTAGATTAAAACATTGTCGAAGTTAACTTTTTGTTGTGCAACAATGCAGTGCACCTAAATTATATTACAATGCAAAGATAATGTGACTTTGCCGAAAATGATTGCAGTCTTGGTATTCAGTGTGATAAAAGTAACGACCTGAGCAAGTTTCACAAATGTGTTAATTGTTTATCATACCATTCAAAAAGGGAAAATTCAATTGTTTTCGGGATGGGTTTAGGTTTAGGAGAAACATAGGTATACCTGTGTGTCATCAGCATATTTATCTTAACCTCTAGCATGGGTATTCTGGATTGTGTGGATAAGAAGCACAATATGAACTAAACAGTGGTCCCAGTATTGACCCCTGAGGGACACCACATTTTGAAATGCCATTCATTCAGATAGAATGCAAACCAAGACCCTTTAATTTGGTTAAAACATACATTTTCTGTCACCTTTGGGTATATATGGTATATCCTTGTCTGTCGTCTATTAACTAAAAGCACATCTAAAATGGCAAATTTAAAGGTTAGCTGACAGTTATCAGAACATTTGTAGGTGATAATGGTGTATTTGTGTGTATGTTTGTTCTTTTAGGACTCTTATCCAAGATATCTGAAGTCTGACCTATACAAAAACATGCTGGCCAAAGGTATTGTCCCCCAGGAGACAAAGAAAAGGTAACATTAACAATGAACTACCACTTTCACTTTACTTACATACATTATTTCTCTAACATGAAACCTTTATTTCTCTTCTTCCTCTCAGTGTGTTCCCCTTCATGAGACGCCAGCGCCACTCGAGCCCCTCCCCTGCTCAGGTTGCCACCCAGGCGACAGAGGAAGGCGGGAATGCCAAGGGGGCCGGGCAAGCAGGTACCAACTCTGCAGCTGGCTCCAATGTCTGATGCTGGGCAAAAAAAAAAAACAGTCCTCCTTTGCTTTCTTTTCTAGTCAAACTGTCTGCGTGCAAGCCAGAGCTTCACTTCTACTGCAACATTACAAAAGCTAGGATATCAACCTTTAAGCTTCCTCTCTGAGCACAGGTGTTAATGCATACCTCAGCGGCGCCACATCTTATTCCCAGAGCAGTGAACCGCAAAGGAAAAATAGCTTTTACAGCTGCTTAGCCATCCTTTATCTAATATCAGTCCAAAAGGTCTTTCCTGTTGTTTTTGATATTGACTCCTTAAAACAAGTCTTCCTTTTTCGCTCAATAGCTTTCATATAGAAACTTCTCTGTATCTCATAAGCAGGTTTAGGCAGAACGATTGTTCAAAAAGCAATAGAAATGTAAAATATGTATTTATTGAAAACGTTGTCTCAGCATGTGTGTGATTATCGTGCAGTTTGCTTGTCTTCATCATTCCATGCCGGAGCTTCACATTGCAATGGTTGTTGCTGTTAATTTTGCTCGAGCATGTTTTCATCCCAATAAAAAATGTCACAACAGCATTCTGTGTTGTGTTGTGCTCTCAGTGCTGCATGCTATGGTGAACAGTGTGTGTGTGTGTGTGTGTGTGTGATCAGGCTTTTGTTATCCTCACTTGCTTTCATGTGTCCTGTTTCTATAGCCTTGGGAGTATTTTAAGCACAAAGCCTTTATATGTTGTATTTTTTTTTGCATTTATTTAACTCCAGATGTGAAGGCATTGAATTATAGACTTCCAGTAACTCAGCCCATATGACAACTACTTCAAAAGGCTCAGGTCTGTTTCCATGCTGTTCTCTTTCAGTACTGTGTCTGAACTTAGTGCTTCTCCTACCGGACTGGCTCCATCTTCTGGCTGCATGAAGTCAAAGTAACATAAATGTTCATACTCACTGTAAATAAGTGGTTCCCACCGGTTTGGCTTGTGCCACTTCAAAGTTAACAAATGTCCCCCCTTTATCATAGGTTAAGGCACCTTATTGTAAGATTTTGCAATTTTGTGAGTTAGCGCCCCTACAGTTTTAAATCGCAATTAGCCTATAAAATATCTGGATTGCGATGCATTCAATTTATATAAAACATTGACTTCAATATTATTCCCCGAGTAGTGGTTAGTCTTACTGTCTAGCCTACCTTAAGTTTCCATTTTTTAGAGTAATCCCATGGTCCCTTCTGCGTTTTGTTTGTTGGTTGTTGGATTGGCTGTTACAGTCATAGACACAACAGTGCCTATCGAGACATTTTAAAAAGGTTTAATGCTACTTTGCTTGCGAAATGGTTAGGTAACGGGTTATGGTCGATGGTTCCCTTCAAAGATTGCCACCTTGGTGTTGATGACGTCAAATTTCCATTCTGTAATTATGACTGACAACTGTAACGTTACACATGCATTTTTTATATAACATAACTTTCAAAAACAAATTGACAACTTTACAACACAGCCAAACATCAATCAAATGCCACAATAGAAGACATAGCTAGCCAGCAAATGTTACTCACCCGGTTACGTTAGCCCACTCACATGGCTTCCGTTCTGAAAACCTCTTCATCCCATGGGTTCAAAGCTCCCCAGTGCTCTGAGCTCCTAGTACTGACAGAATGGTCAACTGAAAAAAGCTTGACTCTTTGCCAAAATAGTGCTAACCATTGCTAACAATAGCGTCCGTCAGCAATAATTTAGCAACAAGTAAAGATTTATTTCACAATTAGTAAACTGCAATAATTAAGGAAGAGGAGCTGTACAATATCTATATCAGTATGATCCAGTTTGACCAAAATCAACTTACCGCCTTAAAACCTTACGCTTTTTCCGTATTTGTATGCTATTGATTTAAAGGGGACCTATCATGCAAAATGCACTTTTGTACGTCTTTTATACATGAATCTGTGTCCCCGGTGTGTCAGGGAACTCACCAAGTGTCAGAAAACACAACCCTCTCTCTTTTCCTCCATACCCAAATCTCTAAAAACGGGGCTGCAACGGATCTGATACAGACTGATACAGATTTGAACATTTCTCTGATGTCAGGACAGAGGAGCTCCGCCTGCTCGTAACTCGGCCCCCTCCTTTGCAGGGGGGCGTGGTCAGCTGCAGCGCATGCAAAGACAGGGTGGAGGAGAGCAAAATAGAGCGAAATGAGGCATGGCTAAAATGCATGATCTGTTTGGTATTTTGAAAAAGAAAACGTATAAATATACCTTATATAGGTATGGCCTTACAATATATTATTCAAATATAGCATGATAGGTCCACTCTGAGCCTGTTTTTCAGGTCTCAGGCTCGAAAATGACATTCCCAGAACAAATGACCATATCTTCCCTTCTAAAAGGGTTAAATTAATAATCTTTGTTCTCAAAGTAATGATAAACCTGTGAGTTGGATGTAGAAGTGTCAGAATCAATATAAATGTTTTTTATTTTAAAGAAAATTCAGATTTTACATAGTAAAAAACTGTAAATTATAGTGTCCGTCCAAAAATAATTTTTTACAGATAGTGAAAACTACCCTTGGATGATGGGTTAGTAGACTAAAAGCTTTAGGAATCCAAAGTACAACATATAATAAGTACCCTGTATCAAGATTGATGCAAAACAAGTGAAATTTGACCTTTTTAGAGAGATTTAGCCAAAAACTGGGCCATCTGGGGTCATTTGGGTGGATTTGACCTATCTCTGGCCCCCCTTGCTCGATTTGGTTGGTTGACATACCCTTGTGACCGTTAGAGCCAATAGAATCGAAGGGGGAGGCTCCCACCCAGACACGTTGTAAAGAAAAAATGTGGTTGCTTCGCGTGTGGAAAACGAAACCAAACTGGAGGAATGTCTCCTTCTGGAGTTTGGAAAACTAAAACGCAGTTGTATTGCTTATGGATTATCAGAAATAATTTCAAAGAAGGCACAGACACATAGGATGAACCTATGGATTAACTGCAGCATCGTTTTTTTATCGTTTTAATGCCATTGAAGACCACTTTTGACCAAGGTAAGCCATATTTACGTGTTTAGCTTCTTAGCTCCACATGTGATGATGTACGCTTTCGTTTAGAGCGTCGCGAATGTTTATCACTGAGTGTTGAGGAGGGCACCGGTAGATTCAGTGTCTCCAGGACACCAAAAAAGAGTGGTTGGTTGTGCATCTAGGATAAGTAATAAGGGAGTTAGAGTGAGTTTAGTTGCCTTAGTATGTTACGTTTCTTTCGCTTGAGGCTAATTCAGAGGCTGAGTGCTAGCAATGTGGGTTTTTTTTGAAAAAAAAAATTAAAAAGATCAGTTAGCTGAGTTTCTTCCCGTTACATGGATATAACACATTCATAGTTTTATTCAATATTAAGATTCCTTAGACGTTGTTTCCTGCAAATGACGCGTTTATCCGCCCGGTACCGGGGGGAAGGCGTGAAACAGGTTGTGAATAGTTACATCATTCTTCAACGCCATTTTGTGGGAAGACTTTTTCTTCATCCATTTAAATATCTTGAGACCCTCTCCGATTCATCTCAGTTAGTGAATCACTGCTGTAAATGCATCACATAAAATCGCTGTCCACATACATAATTATACTGTAGTCTATCCTGATGACATATCACCACTATGACTGAGCAAGTTTACCTTTTAGGTGACAATTCCAGGTAAGGGGCACTCCAATGATTTAAACCTGATACATACTAGAGATTAAATGTCAGCCTGTGTTGTTTTTGATTTAAAATAGAGTGGTGAGCAACACACACACACACACACACACACACACACACACACAGGATTATCCTAATCCGCTTATTCCCATTGCTCCATCCACTCTTGGCCTGAGTGAGTGTGTGTGAGAGAGTGCTTCAGGAAAAAAAGAGACTGTTCAGATAAAAAGCAATAACAAAAATACATTTCTCTTTATACCATAGATTTATTTTCAGAAGACTGAATGCTGTTTGGATTTTTTTAGCAGATTGAATAGTAGCCTACCAGTAGAAGGAAGACATTTATTTTTTATTTTTTTTACATAGAACATTACATATCTTCCTCCTAATGCATAAGAGATATAATATGTTGTAGTGGTACAATACCTTTCATATTCCTACTTGAATATGACATGTAAATGAAGTGATGCACACTCGGATACAAGGGAAAAAACAATATTTCAAAAAAAAGAAAGGCAAATGTGACGGAAACATTCAATTTGTGTAAAATCTCTAATGAGAAAATCATCACAGCATGGGAAATAAACATACTATATGACTTACATTTGAATGGAAAGTGCTCAGTAGGTTCACAGGTGCAAGAGACAAATCACACATTCACCCACACATGTACAAGTGCGTAAAGTGCACTCATTCACAGAAAACACGAAGACAAGAGGAGGCACTGGACACAGTAACCTAAATATACAATCGTAGTGCCCATTCATACGCATACTGCCTATGTACATCACAGTACATAGCGTAGGGATTTTTTCCTTACAAAGTGCTTAAGAATGAGTGTTGACAAAAGTAAGAACTGATAAGGTTTCAGAGTGGAAAAAACAGAGGAGAAGATAGTAGTCCAAAAAATGATACTGCCATTCAGATTCATTAGAAGCTACATTTACAACTGAACATTGACATAGCCTTCTGCCATGTACATACAAATGTGGATTTTTAGAAGGCATGATACATGTGGCAGGCAAAAAGAGACGTTGGTTTTAAAGGGGCCCTATTACAGTCATTTTCAGGATCATATTTGTGTTTTGTGCCTCTACTGCAGTATTTCTCAAAGTGGGGGGCGCAGAGGCATGACAGGGGGGGCACGAGAGACCAGGAGGAAAAATGGTTATGAAAAAAAAAAAAATCATAATTTGGAAAATTATTGATTAGAAAATAATATGATACAGTACAAGTACGTCTGGGTCTCTGTTTCATTCAAGCTCGGCTCTGTGTGTGTGTGGAACAAGCCATTTTGTGTGCGAGCGAGAGAGAGAGCGCACCGGTACCGGAGATCGCTGTTGTTAGCTTCTGGTGCTAGCGAGCTACGCTAACGGATATAAGGAGCTTTTTCCACAACAAAGTGGAGGAGAGTCCTCTCCTGTCAGACTGAGAGGCTCAGTGAGCTAAAGGACTCTCTCAGTGTTTAGATAGTTAACTTTAGTCTAAGTTATCTCAGTGGGTCTCAAACGGTTTGGTCACGATTAATGTTAACAATTATTTCCGAGGCACACGTTTATATGATCATTATAGTTATAAAAAAAATAAGAGAATAAATGAGAATGAGAGTAAAAAAAGAATAGAGTTTAAAAGGAGAGCGATTTGTAAAATATCCATAAAGAAAAAGTAAATCTGTTTACAGTTCTGTTTCATATGGGTGTTGAGAGATGTATCCATAGATCTCTTCATTTTGCTTTCAAAATGCACCAGATTGATGCTTTTAACTTCAATATTTAAAAAACAAATCTTCCCGGACCCCCCTAGAGGATGTGAGATCCACACACCACTTATAAAAATAGCACTTTACCCCTGCTTACACCTATATGCCATGAGCTGATTATCGAGCCTTCATTGTAACTGTCGCGGGTACACTGTGTATTTGCGTGGGGAGTGTTGCAGTAGAAAATTCCACTGTCGGGCCCGGTACATTAATGGGAAACCCTAAATGTTTGAGCACCCTCTATGAAACGTCAAGCTACCCCACGGCACCCCCAAAAGAAATCTCTGGCTCCGCCACTGAGCCTGCAACCCCGTTTTGAAGAAATGTGCAGTGCAAAACAGGCTCATTGCAGCCACTAATGATAAGACACCTTTTTACCAAATATCAGCATTTTCTTTCTTTTCATTTTTTTGCACAGATTGCAAAGTGGCAAAGTATTATAACTCATTGTTCTAGCAAAGGGATTGCACAATTGTATATATTTCTTTGAGCACACAGACTTATGGAGCATTGTTTTATTATCACAGATTCTTTTTTTTTTTTTTTTTAAAGGAATGCTCACGTTCATATTGATGTATTTTAATAAATGTTAACTTGGCCCATTATGTGACTATTTGTGTTGAGAAATAGTTTTCTCCAAAGGACAAACAAGTTTGAGAACCACTGCTCTACTGTGACATGTTTACTTGCTTTAATGCTAAAAAAAGCTCTTTATTTTTCTCATACTGCCTATGCTGCAGCACCTTTTTTCACCCTCTGTCTGAAACCAGAGCCCAGTCTGCTCTGATTGGGGAGAGTGTGTGGGAGAGAAACTCCCTATGGAGGCAACTTTGGGATTTTAGCCTTTGAAGACCATTTACATGCACAAAGACCTAAATAACAAACTACAGGTAAAACCCCAAAAAGCATAATAGGGCCCCTTTAAGCAATTTATTTGAGCTGTTTTGATCACTTTTATTCAATGATTCATTTCAGAAAAAAGCTTGAAATAACTAATAATTTTGTTATTAGCTAGTAAATATAACATTTTAAAGGCTGTTTAAACCACATGGCGGTTAAAATACAAGCATATCTTAAAATAGATCATAAAGTTTTAGCCCAGGCCTGGGTGGAAAAAGACAATACAAGAGGATACAAGAATGAGGAGTGTTTAAATTGACTATAAATATATGTTATACTTTATCATACAATAGGCAGAATATAAAGATTTGAAAGAGCTCCACAGGGTCTGATTCCTAATAAATATTCAAAAGATTAATTGTGTAGCCAATATGTACATACACAATATGTACAATTGACCGTCATGAGGTCAAAGGTCAGTTGGTGTGCCACCTGACGGTTTGGCTGTTTATACCCTCGCTTGTGGAAGGGACCGCCTTAGGTATTAGCAGGTTCCATTTGGATTAAATGTGGTATGTATTTCCCAAACTTAAATTTGAAGAATTTTACAAACCTTTAAGGTATTTTAGTATTTAAACATACTAATACACTTTGAAGAGTCAGAGTCATAAAGGAAAACTCCAGTACTATTCAACTTGAACCCTGTTTTTTGTTTAAGTGCCTTATGGGGACTTAAATTGTTATTAATGGTTTAAATGGGCTGTGAAGTAATAATATCGGGCATCATGAGAAAAGAAGAGAAATAAAATGTTTTCCTTACATAATTGTGCAAGTCTTGCTGAAAGAGAAGTATTTTTCTGATATCTTGCATCGCATCAAAATTCTCAGAATTCGCTGAATTAGCTAAATACGCTCATGTGAAAAACATTTAACTTTCTGAAGGGTCCTTTCCATAATGTTGTCAAAAAAATGATATAACAAATTGAGCATGTCAGTGAAAAAAACAGAATATTTTTTGTCAACGTTCTCTGAAGTTTCGGATTTGCCATGAACGATCGTTGCAGACCCCGCAAGAAAGCTATGGCTGCCAATAAAAAAGAAAATGGTGTTCCCATCCCACTTAGACAGGAAAACAAGTGTAAATAGGATGCAGTTTAAAAAAATGACAGAGGTTACCCTACCCGTGTGTCTTTTTACCTTTTGTGATTGTTTACAGTGCCGTTAAACTATCAATGCTTCGTCACTTCCTTACAGTGGTTCCTGTCCTACTACGTGACAGTGTAGAGTTCGTCCTTGTCATTCTGACATAGCGTGTAGCCACAGACCTGGGGTCTCCAGCTCCAGGTCCAGCTCCAGCCTCTGCTCCAGCCCAGCACCTCCCTGTTTTTCTCCTTTGGCGGCAGCAGGAACACCACGCAGCTGGCTACCAGGATGTGCCACAGTGAGTGGGTGTAGTAGTAGTTGTCTTCCGTCTCAGCAAAAATGTACAAACAAACCCCCACAAGAGCGCAGACTGCTCCGGGGATCAGGAAGAGGACCCAGCGCCTCCAAGAAGGTGGGTAACAGTGTCGGCGCCGCACCCCTCGGTACACCTGTAAGAGAACTGGGTTTAGCACAACTCAAGAACACCGCTTTATTATCAATCTTCTGTTTTGGCAGCTAACAGCGAAGTTAGCAGCGAATCCCATTCACTGAAGGACATGTCTTACCCAGGTAGTGACCATGAGCAGTATGGCACAGATGACAGGGCCCAGCAGGTTCCACAGGCCTTTTCGGTCCAGCTGCATTGACATGGCTATAAGCAGAGCCCCGAGCATAAACAGAGTCTGCACACACAAGGTATACAAAAAAAACTGTTCAAATATCATGTTCTTCCTGAGTTTGAGGGAAAGTTTGGAATTCTGAAGTGAGGTTGTATGAGGTACTTATCCATATGTATTGTCAAAAGGTAGATCGTGGTGTTTTCTTTTTTTTTAAACCAATAGGACCTTAAAAGTTGTAAAATGCGCTAAAAGTCGAAACTAGAGTTATTTTCCCTCTCCAATCAGTTGACCGGATGTGACAGAGCAGATTAGAGGCGGGGCTAAGGGGAAACGCAAGTGCACATGCTCTATGAGCCCTATAGATGTGGTAGATCAATATTAGTTAAGGTGTATGAATATTTTCATGACTTTACTTTGCCATCAGAGAGCCTTTTCTGGGAACTATGGTCCTTATCTATGCTCTATCATTGACAAAAACAATCATTTTACCTCAGCAGAACACAGAAGTTGCCGGTCTAATGCTTGCTCTAATAGTTATTTTGTTTGTGTTATTGTGTGGCGTTGGTGTTTAAAAGGACGTAGTTTTGATTCATCAAGTCACACAGTTTTTATCAATGGAATCTGATGGCAACAAAAGGCAGAGAAAATATAAAAAATATAGTGTACATGTGAAATGATGATTGTTTTTGGTGGGCCTTCTTTTTAGGTGGATAAACACTTTGCTGAGGACCTGCCAGGTGCCATCTACTGTTATTAATACACTAATTATAGATAAGTACTTCAAACCACCACAAATCAAATGATCCAAACTATCCCTTTAAATGTAATAACTAATGATAATATAAGTGTACATAATAGTATTACAGTAATAAACAATAGTCGGTGTCTTACATATTTGAATATGTCTTTGATGCGGGCCATGCACAGGATGGTGACCCAAATGGAACAGATTGACCCGAGGAAGTCACAGTATTGCAGGGCATCGTAGTCCATTATACACATTACTGCTACACCCGGCTGGTCACAAGCATGGTAGAACTGAAATATAAAAGAGAACAAGAAGTTACATACAAATATATACTAATATAAGTATATCCAAATGACCTTATTACAGCATAAGTAAGAAAGAAATCCTTGAGGTGAAATCGTGTGAAATGTTGATCTAATCTTGCGTGGGTTCATTTGTTTCTTTTTTAACTCAAGAAATGTATCATCATAGATATAGGCTCTATTAATACCTCTATTAATAAATCAAATAAATAGTCAGCATATTTAATACACACATAGTAATAGTAAAAAAAATCAACATGAAGTCTGTAGTGTCCTGAAATACATAAACTGAGGGACAATTTACTCCAAACCCTAACTCCTAAAACAATATCACAATACAGTATATGATCAATTGTGATACATAGCAATCAGCCAAGTGTTAACACAATGTCAAACCGTACACAACATTATACCAAAGGGCCTCAAGAGGATGAACAGCACTCTAGGAACATGGCTAGAATGCAACATTCCCACACATGTACGCAAGACTGTGTTTCTGTTACCGTGGAGAAGAACATGGTGAAGAGGTAGACGGAGGCCTCGGTGATGAAGCAGCGTTTGACGGCCACCACGGTGGCGGGCAGGAAGGCCAGGTTGCTGAGCGTGAGCAGCAGAGTGGCCGTCAGCTGGCGACCGTACGACTGAGCTGAGGAGCCATCGGTGCAGCCCCACCCGCTCCACCCTGCGCACACACACATTACGTTTAGAGAGTTAATGTACTTATACCTGCATCAATACATGTACACCCTAGCTTTTTTATAAAACCGGCTGTGCATGTGTTTGCATTTTTGGATCATTATTTCAATGCTTAGCTAGTCCTCTCTGTGTTTGTGGTTAGACGACAGGGGAGCAGTGGTGTAAAGTATCTAGTATCTAGTAGTACTGTCATTAAGTAACATTTTGAGAAACTTGGGCCAATCTGCCTAATGAGTACTTTTGTACTTCTACTTGAGTAACATTTTGAATGCAGGACTTTTATAGTATAGTACAGTATTTCTACACTCTGGTACTTCTACTTTTCCTTAAGTACAAGATCTGAGTACTTCCCTCATTTCTGCAGGGGAGACAAAGAAAGCTGATGACAGGATTTTTTTCAAGAACTATTAAATGTAGATTTTCAAGACTTTGCATGAACCTTTTTGTTATTTAACTGAAAGCAAGAAAGTATCTGTGTGTGTGTGTGTGTGTGTGTACCAGTCTTGCAGACACAGGCGGCGTACAGGTAGCTGTAGGATCTGAGCAGTCTACATTCTCCATATTTCCCACAGTCCTCCACACAGGCACTGAGGAACACCTCAGGGACCACAGACACCAAGGAGGCATTACCACAGTCACTGCTGCAAGAACAGAGAACACATGTACATATCAAACACAGGACAGTTCTAGAATTAGGGTCAGGCATTAGATTATACAGTCTCGAAATGAGGTCTCTCAAAATGCAAAATAAAAAATATTCCTCCTGTGATTTTGTTTCTGGATGCGTGGCTCTAGTAGTGAAAGTTAGACATTATTCTTGACATTTAAACTTTATTCTCAAATGGAAGAAAAATGGAAGATATACTCCAATATTTAGAAGCCATTTTATCTGTAGACTGAAATTCACCCAAACACATCCTTGAACAAATAGCAGTGTTATCTGAAAAATGCACAAAGAGAGAGAGAGTTTGTGTGTGTGTGTGTGCGTGTTACCTGTTGCATGTGAGCTGCAGGGTGAGGTACCATGTTGTTGACTGAGGGAAAGGCAGCCTGACCACAGCTTTAGGATCACTGACGTTCACACGGACTCCGTACCCTCCGAACAAAGCTGCAGATACACACAGGAGGATTTCATTTCCATATCGCAGAGGCAAGCTTCCCGACTTGGTTTGTTTGTTTACTGTCCACATGCTGCCGCTAAATTAGACACAATTCCTTACAAAAGCTTGGACGTTTTACTGTGACTTTTTTTGGGAGTCAAAGCATTATTGAAACCTATTCCAGCATGCACTTGGCAGTTGCCAGGAAAACATATTTGAAAGATTGACCGTGATATTTTATACATTTCTAAATTTGACTTGTTCCATTATTTTTAATAAGATGAACTCAATTGTACATTCCCTTTCCTTTTTCAATCATCAATCCTATATCATATATATTTCCTGCTATTCTTATATTATATAATACATTATATTTTATTTATCTTCCATTTTATTCATTCTGTAATGTAATGGAACTGTCACAAAAACCAATTTCCCTCTGTGATAATTAAAATATTTCTGATGAAAAGTTTAAGACTCATTAAGCCCTGGGTTCTAATAATGATAAATAAATAAATAATATAATATAATTAAACAATGGTTTAATGCTCCGAACGGTTGTACTGTAGGTTCAAGTCCAGATTGAACAAAAATAACACAGATTTTTGATATAAATCAAAAGAATACAGTTCACCTCATGGGCACTGTTGAGGTGTCCTTGAGCAAGGCAATGAACGCCCAACTGCCTCCTGGCGTCTAATGTATATAGGTACTGTGCGTAGTTGTGTGTATACATAACTTACAGAGTGAAAACCTGAATTGTCCCTAGGGGATTAACAAGGTGGCTTCTACCTCTAAGCAAGTGGGTGTTGGTGCTGCTAAATATGGTTTAACTAGGGGTTGCTTGTGCATGTGTGTCACTGTCCACAGTACTGATTGGACCGGGTGGAGGAGAGCGATAGAGACACAGATGGAACACGTCTTAGCCCTCGTTTTCGAGATAAAAGAGAGCGGCCAGCCGGAGAACCACTGCATTATGATACTGCAGTTATATCCATGTCTTCATTCACCTGTGCGGCAGGGCTGAGAGTGGTTCAGGTCGAGGACTGGAGCCCAGGGAGAGAGACAGGCCACCACACTGCTGCTGTTCGCCATGGTTATATTAGTCTGAAACACACACACACACACACACACACACACACACACACACACACACACACCAAAGTTAAACCTGAAAACATACAACACAATGGCTTGTCATAAAGTATATATATGGACGCTGGATTGCACACAGCCCTGATCGACTAAATTCTGTAGCAAGGTTGTTTCTTAAGCCACAGTCAAGATCATGTGAAACGAATTTCAAAGGAATTCAGCCGTGTCTTGATAGATTGTCTAAAAAATGTACAAAATTATATATTTGATTTCACAATGTTATAACTGGCTGCTCCTTTTTTGTTTTGCACTTATAACAGTGTTTTGATACTGTAACAACAATGTTGTCAAGATAACACCGTGCAATACTTCAGATGATCTTGTAGCCTACTTTTGTATGCTCCAACTACTTTTAAAATGCTGCTACCTATTTATTTTCTTCTTCTTTGAATGTATTCTTATTTTTCTATTTGCCTACTTCTTTATTTAATATGTTAGTATAATGTTTATTTTTTAGTATTTATCTGTGAATTTCCCCGATGTTGGACAAATATGATATCATTTAAAAGTAGAAGACCACAAAAGATCACTTCAACATCCTCATGTGTGTGTAATGGTGTGTGTGGGTGTGTGATAATGCAGTAGTACTCACAGTGTTGAGTGTGAGCTGCAGGTTGAGCGTCCCCCCGGTTGCCTGTGTGTGCAGGGGGTAGGTGAGCAGCGTAGGGTGTGTGTCAGTGACGCTGACGTTGGGTCCGTTAGCGGGAGTGAAGCGCATGGACAGGACATCCAGCTCCTCGTAGAGGACGGGGATGCTCCACACGCACGCCGACGCCAGCAGTGGCGTCAACGGGGATGCTGAGTCGTTGCTCGGGGCGACCGCGTCTGTAACCACCGTGTCGTTGTCGGCTGATGTTGAGTTGGTGAGGTTGCTCTTGCTGCGGAGCGTGTTGATGTCGTCATTTACTTTAAGGCCGACACTTTTTGGCTTACACCCCACTGAGGAACACACACACATGCAGAATAGAATACTTACACACAGGTCGGGAAGTGGATTAAAACAGAATACAGCTGCAAAGACAAGATAAATAATAGATGAAAAAATTATGTTTTTGGTTTTCTTTAAGCTTATTTTTGGAGCCAATTGTAGCCTTTCTTGGAGAGCTAGATTAAAAAGGGGGAGATAGTGGGGATCACACGCGTAACGTGACCACAGGCTGGATTCAAAGCTGCGTCCTTTGCTTCAGGGTCTAAGCCAAAGTACATGGGTCATTTGATTAATGCTTTAAAATAGTTTTTAATTGCAAAAATGGGAGAAAATGCTGTTTCCAGCTGCTCAAATATAATAATATAGAGATCATGTGGTAATATATTTTTTATATCATACTGAACTCAATATACTTTTGGGTTTTTGAACTATAAACCACAACATCATCTAAGGTCGCATTCACACCAGCCTTGTATAGTCCGGTTGAATCGAACCCTGGTGCGTTTAGCCGCTTGTTGCGGTTTGTTTGGGTCGGTGTGAACACAGTCCGAGACCTCTTAAGTGAACTAAACAACCGGACTCTGGTCCGCCTAAAAAGAGGTGGTCTCTGACCGCTTGCTAGTGAACTCTGGAGCGGTTCATAGCTGGTGTGAACGCAGTCCGCACCAAAACATAGGAAGCGTAGTATTTACGTGTCACAAGAACGCGGATGTCTTCAAAATCGTTAGCGAAAGAGTGAAGCAGAATGAAGTGTTGAACAGTGTTGTGTAAAGTAAAAACAACTATCAAACTAAAAACTATACATTAAAGTCAGAGCCACCTGCCGTTGGTGAAACCCCCTCCTTACTGCAGAACGTCTCTCATTATATGTGTTATCATGTTTTGTATCGCACGTTGTCTGATTATATAATCATATGCGCCGTTGCTAGAATCTGTTGATATGCTCTCCAGATTAACAGCAGCATGAAAATAACCTGGCGAAAGTGCCGATGCTCCATGGCGGAGGCTCCGGTAGAAATTGCCGGGATTTGCGTTTTTCCCCCTTAATGTCTGACCAATTGTTGAACAGCATTTCCGAGCACATGACTTGTGTTTAAAGTTTATAGTCCGTTTGAATTTTGCCCGTGTGAACGCAAACCGAACCTTCTGAAAAATGAAACCATGTAACAAACTGTCGTCTGGTGCGCACCAGAGAAGCGGACTATTAGGTGTGAATGCAACCTTAGACTTTAGGAAGTTAGGGCAGACTTTCTTTTTTCTTCACAATTTGAAATTTGAAAGCAATAAATCTACAAAATATCTATATTGAAAATAATAGAATACAGTACGCACACAGGTCAGGAAGTGGATTGGAATAGAGTAAAATAGCAATCATTAGATATCTTATAGATAGAACAAATAAAACATTTGATCAGTTTTAGTCTATTTTTAGAGAGAGATAGATTTTAAAAGGGGGACAGATGGGCGACCCATCAACTATTTTGAAAAAAAAGGCATAAAATGCTGTTTTCAGATGATAAAACAACATATCATGTTGGACTTTAGGAAACTGGGACCAACTTATATATCATTTTCTGACATTTGAAACGACTAATAAATAAACCTAAACAATCATAAGCAAACTTATCAATAAAGACAAATATAATAACTTCCACACACACATGTTGTGAAGCAGATTAGAACAGAGTAGAGATGTCAACTACTTTGATAACAGATAGATCATTAGTCAAAACATAATGTCCCTAAGTCTCTCAAATATGGACATTTCCCTCCCAGGACAGTTTCATATTATTTTTAAACTGAATATCTTTGGGTTTTGGACTGACAAAAAAAACACATAAAAAAAAAACTGTAATGGACTGTTACATTTTATAGAACAAAGAAGTAATAGATTAATCAAGAAAGTATTCAGCAGACTAATCAATAACGAAAATAATAATTAGCTCTATAACACATATAAGTGTGTACTGTACGTGTGTTTATGGACATGTGTTTCTGTGCCCACCTGTGTAGTTTGAGACGATACTAAAGGTGACGGTGCGGTTGTCTAGGCCGCTCTCCACAACAACCCGTAACCAGGTATCCCAAGGCGGGTTGGAAAGAGTAGCTGAGCAGCCAATCCCTGAGCAGTTCACTGTTACCGGGCGCTGCTGCAGGGAGGTGGAGCCCAGCCGGAGCACCAGGGAACAGTTCCCATCGCCTGCTGCCTCACCAGAGGAACAGTCCGACACGGAGACCGAGAGGGAGGACGCAAACTCTGGAACATATAACCTAACACACACACACACACACACACATTAACAGACAGATTTTGTAAGAAAATATAAAACAGAACAATGAGAGGGACTTGGGATGGGACAATTTGGGACTTTATCGCAAAAAAAAGAGAAAGAAAAACATCATAATAAGTTGATCTTGGTAAATGTCCATTATTGAGGCAATTGAGAATATCATCATTATATATAATACAGGACACAATGTTGCCATTTTTTAAATTGTATTTATCCAATATTTATGCAGGAGGAAATACAACTGATTCAATTCAAATGTTTAGTTTTTCACTAAAAAGGTTGATGACTTATAAAGATGGGGCCTATCAAATGTAATACAAAATGATTTTCTTAAAACAAAGTGAGTCCAGTATGTTTTGGTGCCATTTTAGTTTCCAATTTCTTTTATTGATTTTGCGTATTTTGATGATTATCGATGAGAAAAAGATGAATGCCAATTATTTAGGCATGAAATTGTGACATGAGATTTTGACATTGCCGAGATGGAAAACAGGAAGTAACCACAAAGGCAGTTCTTACTTAAGGCGTGCAGGTGTGTCAGGAGCTGCGGTCTGCTGGAGGAATGTGCCCTGCTGCATGATGGGAGTGTCCACCGCTCTCCTGATTGACAGCTGAGGCTGGAAGAGGTACGAACAAGATGGAAACCCCTAACAGAGAAGAGAAAAATATGAATATACTGCCACATATTTCTATTAAATTGATCAACCTTTGAAGTGCCAGTTCATACAGGCACTTCAAAGTCTTTCAGGTGAGTAATCTTAATAAAACATTAAGTAAGACTCAGTAAGTCAACAATATGAGCCAAAGTAAAGAAGGTGAAGAATGTGGCGCAGCTAGATTCCCCCTGCTCAGGTAGAACAGGTTGGGTTTAAAGGGAAATCTACAAGTGGAGCATGATGGGAACACTTTATCATGGCCTTTTCATTTCAACACATTCGAGAGTGCACCAATCTCTCCATGTTCAAATAACAAATCAAAACTCACCTCTTCGGAACTGATTTTATTCTGGTATTAACATTATGTTCGGTATATCTTCAGTGATTTCAATAATTCTTTACATAAAAAAACCTTTTAAAAAAGTACCTTGAAGTGGCGCTTTTTAAATGAAATGTATTATTATGATTATTAATATTACCATTACATCAATTCAGACAAAATAATGGACAAATGTTAGACTGAAAATTAGATGGTGGAAAGAGGTGCTGCAGCACAGGCAGTATGATCAAAATAAAGACCTTTTTGAACATTAAAACCATGGAACTCTTGAAATACTGGTGTTATACTGGATTTTATTTTAAACAGTCTTCAAAAAAATTGCAGTAATTTCAATTAGCATGGTGTATGTGTGCATTACGTCCAGAGTGACAGTTCAGTTAAAGAGGGGGGGGGGGGGGGGGGGGGGGGGGGGGGGGGGGGGGGGGGGGGGACTCATGAAATCAGGACTAAAACAACAGACACATCAGAAAGCAAAATACTGTATATGACTCCATACAAACCTTCTGCTCAATACGCCCATCATGTTCAGGCAGGTGGGCACCAACGAACCAGTCTCCGGGAGCAGGGTTGGAGAGGTTAAAGGTCATGGAGCTTTGTGATGTCACCGGTAGGATCAGAGACAGAGGGGGGCTCCATAGTGTTGCATTGGGAAACACCTTCCCTGTTGGATTTATGACTGGAGGAGCACCGTGTTGGATATGGCTACAGAAAAAGAGAGTTCCAAAGTTAGTTTGATAAAAAACGGTAAGGTTATTGGCTTAACATTCAGCACAAAACTGCTTTATAGAGATGAAGAAGAGAAATAGAACAGAAACTAAAATAAATATCATAGACAATGGATAGACTGAATAAGTACTGTATATCTTACATGGTGACATTGTGCTTTCCACAGTTGAAGTTGTTGCCCTTGGTGACGGAGAACAGCCAGCGGGCGATGGCAGTTTCCTTTGGTATATGAAACCTCTGCAGCCTCACGTTGCCATACCAACCGTACTTTGACAACTTCTGAGCCGGTTTGGACGAGAGCTCCGAGACAAATGTCACCTGTCCATCTGTAGTGGGTAAGATAAAAGACACAGTTATTTTCTACTGAATGTAGTTAATGCATATTGTATTTGTTAGGGGCGGATAGTGGGAAGAAAGAAATATGGAAATGGGGAAGACGTTTTTTTTATCATTATGCTAAAATGGTGTAGGCTATGCTAATTTGTAGAGAAAATCCTAGTTGACCACTCATATCATTTTTTAGACTATTTGAATACTTTATTAAAATTGATAAATCTATAAACTGCAAAGCATGCAAAAAGGTAACCCCTGTTAATCTCGTGTAGTCTGTTGTTGATGTTTTTTTAATAGTTTTTGTTATAAAAAGTCCCACTTTTATTGTGATCAAAACTTGTCATATTGTATTGGCCTTAGCACATATCAAGACTTTAACCAGGCAGAACAAATGTTGTGGCGTTTCCCAAATCAAGCAAGATATAATCTTTGGGTTAAAAAAAATTACAAAATATTGTGGTAATCTTAACTACAGAGATAAAGAATAACGTATACAGCTCATGTGACGAAATTAATAGTTTACACTAAAATGCTGACACACTCATAAGGGCTAAAAAAAAGTCTAAACATTGGTGCATGTCAACGCTTCTAAGCTCCATAACCAATTAGTAGTATGGTATAGTGAACATAATTATATTAACAATAATAGATACATTGTTTAAACAAAAAGGTTCACGTGAGAGAAGTGTGAGACTATTTTACAGAGCACAGACTGCGCTAAAGATTTCTGTCATTCAGCTAAACTCGGAGCAAACATAGTAGCAAACATGCTAACACCAGTTATATCTGACTTCGTCCCTTTGGCTTAAAAAACACTTACCGTCTGCTAAAGTCCAAGCTGACAGGGCGACGAAAAGTAGAGCACGTAGAAAACACATTTCCATGTTTTCTTTGCCAGTTTTTGCACCATTACATTGTTATGTATCCACTTGTAATGTCCACTAATGTCAAACAAATCTAACGCTACGGACAAATCATTCCACCTGCACAGCACTTCCTTGTTTCTGTGTAAATACACGACGTCACGAATTTAACGGGTGCTGCCTTTGCTGTCTGTCGGAAAGATGATCATCATATACAGAAACGAACAAAACAGTGATACATCCGCCTTTAATTTGTAATTTAACTCATTTTGAAAGATATAATGTAAAACAAATCCAAATAAAGCACCTGTAACTACACATTTGTGTTAATAAATCAAATATAATACACACAATGAATTACATTTAGGTGTTGTAGTTATATGATATTGACACTTAAAACTACGAGCTTTAGATACCAAAAAGACAACGCTGCAATTCATGTTTTTAACCACCTAAAATGTGTAGTATCTGTCACGAAGGACTTGTTTAACTTTATTTAATATCCAGCATTTTAATAGTTGAATATTATATTACAACAAATGTGATGTTTACACACAGTATTCATACTTCATCTGCTATTCTTTTTTTTTGTGGTTATTCCAGAGGTGGAGGAATTACTCAGATATTGGACTTAAGTAAAAGTAGAAATGCCACAGTGTAAGAATACAATGTTACAAGTAAAAGTCCTGCAATTAAAATGGTTCTCAAGTTAAAGTACAAAAGTATTAGCATCAAATTATACTTAAAGTACCAAAAGTAAAAGTAGCCTACTCATTGCGCAGATTGGCCCATTACAAAATAATAGATATTATATGTTCTGATTATAATGATTGATCATTAAAGTGTTATCAAAGCTGGTAAAGGTGCAGCTAGTTTAATGACTTTGTATACTCCTGGATAGCTTGTGAATTTACTCCAGGTGAAACTAAAGTCTGATTTAAGAGTTGATTATATTTCACATTATTAATCCAAATCTGTAAAGAAATTAACGGTACAAAATAAATGTAGTGAACTAAAAGTACACTATTTACCTCATATTTATTGTTGTCCTATATTTACAACTGTCAAATATTTAAAAGACACTGAACAATATGAGAGAAATAAGCACAAGAAAGCGAGCAGCCATTAAAGTATATGAACAAATCAGACAATTGAATTAAATTAATTGCAATCACATGAAAACGAGAGAAAAGTTCATGATCAATATCTCTGCAATTCTAGTAATCTTCTAAAAGAGCTTCTTCACATTTGTGGTTGCCTTCATAGGATAAACATGTTTTTGGGCTTTTGAAAGTATTACAAATACACATATCAAACAGTTTACATCTACTTAATTTATTTAGCAGTTTTAAAGTGCAATTTAAATCCTACTGCATTACTGTCGAATTTGAAAGGAATAGCTTCAAACCAGAGATCATCCATTCAAATGGTGCTTATGGAAGATCATAGAAACACCACATCGTCCAGTGACTCCACCCAGCACCACTGAGCGTCATAGCCCAGCAAAGCCGTCTCTCTATTGGGCGCAGTCTCTTCCTCTTCCATGGTATTGTTCAGAGAGGTTCGGGGACTCTCCTGAGCTTGGTGATCTGTCTGTGACTGTTCAGTGAGGGAAAAGCTACCACTCTCTGCTCTCATGTCTTTTTTTGCTCTGCTAGATCTGAGGAGAGCTTTTCTGACAATGTCAGTGCCGGCTTTAAGGTCTTGTGGTTGTGACTTTGGAAATTTGGCTCTAACCAAACCATTAACAGGAGTAGATGATGCCCCATCACGCCTGCCATGTGTGGAAATACTGACTTCAAACTCAGGGGTGGAAGGACTTGATTGCCTTGCTTCAGTAGACTCTGGGATCTCCATGTGGTTTGTATCCGCGTCATCAGAGGATAGTGTGTGATCAGCTGATTCCTCTCCAGATGTTTCAGTCAAATCCTGAGTTGGACTCTGGCTTTCTCTGTGGGAGCAAAGGTTGAATGTACACAACTACACTGTATGGACCCGGTCAAAAAACTGTGGTCATTTACAAGGATGTAAGGAAATGCTCAGTTCATGTTCAAGAGATGTAACACAATCCTGGTCAGTGTATTCTCACAGCAGTGATACTATAAAAAGTGTGTATATATCCTGAAAAATGAACTGTCAAATACTGTCCATTAATATGCCAAATATGAAAGTACATCGACATTTAGCTTAAATTACTTGTGTATGTTTATGGGTGTCTTATCTGGTCATATATTGCGTATTGCAGACTTTCTGTAATGCAAACACCCCTGGTGATAATAGGAAGACTCAACTACACTACACCAATATGTTTGGTAAGATGTAAGTCATGGTATTACTTTGTTTATTGCAAATGTTCATACCCGTTGTATTTATCTTTGAAAATGTTTTGTTGGGCAACCAGTGCCTTTATTGAAGTGACAGTGTTGAAAGGGGGAGACAGCGGGGGATGACACACAGCAAATTACCTGTATTGGAACCTTCAGGTTCTCCGCTATACCAAGTGAGCTATATGGCGGCCCTCATACATTTATTCTGAAATTAGTTTTTATAAAAATATAGGATTTAAATGAGGACATGGTCCTGTACACCTGCCAATCGAATCACTGTACAGTACCTGCAGGGGGACATGGAGGCCTCCTCCACCGTGGCCAGGCTGCTCAGGCTGCCTGTCAGGCTGCTGCCATGGCTGGCTAAGGCGCCCCGATCCTCCATCAGCCAACGCATCGCCTCGATTCCCTCGTGCACAGCTACCAGCTGCCGCAGAATCCTCACATCAGCAGAACGCAGACACCTCTATATGCAGGAACAGTGCAGAGTTATATATATATATATATATAATATATATATATATATATATATATATATATATATATATATATAATATATATATATATATATATATATATATATATGAACGTGAAGCAAATAAGGACACTTAGGTTGTGATTAAAGTATGTGCACTCATAGATTACTGCCTGGGCATACCGGGCACAGGACCAGGAGCCCAAAGTATCATGGGCCAGACTGGCTTTTTAAATGGTGACAAAAAGGGGCAAAACACCCCCCCAAAAAAGCTACAACAAGTTTAAATTAACACAAAACAAATACAAAGGGACAAAACAATTACCACTAACTACAATAACTGTGGTTTGTATACTTCTTCCAACCAGTCAAGTTTCAGTATATACAGTTATATCCATGTCAATCCAAAATCTCAACACTTTGTCATTGTATCCTAGAAATGTATAACACTCATTAATAGGGTATGAATTCATGAGTTATGGCCACAATATGTTTTGTGAGATTACAGCTATCATTACTTTTGACACTTGCCTCCCAAAAAAAATCTGTTTATGATTGAGTCCAAGTGAACGGTTGTTGCTGATTTTAAGAAATTCCCGTAGAGCATATTTTAGATATCACGTTCAGCAGGACATGTGGACAGACGAATGGGCGGAACATTTGAAAACATTATGTTTTTTTTTTTTAAATGTCTTAAAAATGTGCAAAACAATCACAGACAGGAGAATACAAAGAGGCACACACATAATGAAAGAATATCTATAAGTGTCTCTTTTTTGTGGGGCCTTTTGCATGCCTGTGCCCAGGTGCCTATTTGATCATAATTCGCCCATGTGCACTGCAGTTATACGAGTGTGGAGAGCTGTGTGCATTTAACCTCTCTCCTGAACAATTCTGTCCCCCCCTAGTGAAGACCCCTGCTATAGCCACAACACATGAGGCAGAAGAAAGAGCAAAACACCTTAGGAAAATGAGGGAGGAACAAAGAAGATGTGCAAGGCTTCCAGAGTATGACCAGAGGTATCCAGAAGTGAGTGGAGTGGAAGTGAAACAGAGAGGCCAGGTGAGGGGTGTGGTGAAGAGACAGGTGATTCTGACTGTCATTAGGAATCTAAATAAGCAGGTGTGACTTTGACATTTCTTCCGTCTAGAGAAAAACATGTAATTAGAATAAAAGTATAGGCTATGGCAGAAACAAGTTGTGCAATAAACAGCAGATGTAGAAAACATGTAGTGCCTATATCTATATCTTTAGGGTGAGAATACTCACCATCTCTTGTTTTAAATTGCTTATTTTGTCAGAAAAACTATCGGAGCTGCGGTCTCCCATGTCCACCACATCAGACCTCCATCCATTTTCGCCGTCCGCAGCATCCCTCATCCAAATTAGAAGACTTTCCGGTGTCTTCCTGCCAACTTTATTTTCCACTTCCTTCAGATCTGGAAATGATTCGTTGAAGGTTTCCTCCGCCATCCCACCGCGCAGTAATCACTTCCAAATCTTGGATTGAGGAGATCTTGTGCGTAAAGTCGCTTTCCAAATCCAAATAAGACCCCGTAGCGGGAGAATAACACACCATAAACCTCTCAAACACTCACAATAATGTCCCACTCGTTATATTCCTGAACAGTCCACAATAAACCGCGATCACGAATGACAAACGTGCCACAGAGGCGCAGAACGAGCCATGAAAACGCTGGAAGTGAGCGAGCATGTCACCTGTTCACCTGCTGACTGCTGTCACCATTCAGGCAGCAGAGGTATTGATGGTATGCAGCCGTGAATGTGATGCTGGAAAGTGGAAATGCTCTTTGTGGTGTCCTGAAACAAAGGTGTGTGTTTCATACCAGCAGTCACGTGGTTACAGTAACACAAGTGCGCACATTACGTTGTTCTAAATCGGTGAATTCATGTGATGACCGACTGTATTAGCCTACTGTATTTAACTTTGGTGCACCACATGAAGGAAACACGGGAATTTCTTCCACATGGAGTGTTAGTTAACATTTTTTGGTTTATATTTATTTTATATTGTAAAATATTACATCAGAATGTGATTTAAATTAGACATTGGGTTAGCTAATGTCTGGTTAATGTTATGCTAAGTTTAGGCTTTCGTTAACTAACAACATTACCTTAGTTTCTTTCTGAACTTTGAAGCAAAAATGTCACCTGTTTCCTGTTACATAATTCAAGTCAAAAAGCAAAACGATATTATGTGCAACATGTTCCTTTATTTTAGGTTTTATAAAAGATACTTGGTTGCAAAAAAGCAGCTTCGCTAGCGCTAATGCTTTTAGTTAGCCATTTCAGTAAGCTCACACTTACAATAAAACGACTTTACTCTAAATGATGCTGATATTAAACATAGTCCATTGAATTATACATTAGTCTATTTGGTAAAAAGGATAAATATGTAATTCATATATTAAACCATTGTGCTGACACATATAAATGGTTAAAACATCACCATCAATGGAAAAAGTAGCCTAAAATAAAAAAATGTAGGCTTATAGTGTTTGTTTCACATATGTTTTGGGAACTTGTGATATATAAAAGAAAAGTTATATATTATATTGGAAAATGTATCCAGATAGCTCCTTCAAAGTCAAAGTCAAAGTCAACTTTATTGTCAATCTCAAAATATGTTTGTACACACAGAAAGATCGAAATACTTGTTCAAAATAGATTATTTCTGATAAATAAGTATAAAATTATACTTATTTTTATGTTTTGTGAGCTGAGCTGTGTGATTTTATATTTTATGTATCTCTCTGTACACAGCGCTTTGGTTTTAAAGTGCTTTATAAATAAAGTTGGATTGGATTGGATTGGAAATAGATACGTCAAGATATGTATTTGTCAAAACGACAGACTACATATCCTCACCAAAAGTAAACACCAGCAACATCAAGGGAAATTATTATGATTGTATTTATCTTTACAGTCACATTTAATTCAAACTATATTTACAAAATTTAGCAAATTTCACATTTGTCTCAGAAGGGGGATATACAGACTGTACACGTTCTGTCCTTAGACCCTCACAGCAGAAGGGAAAAACTCCACATAGAAACAACCAAAATGATGGGCAGAATATGGAATAAACCTTGGGGAGAGCAACAGAGGAGGGATCCCTCTCCCACTGACAGTTGTGCAATAAATGTTGTGTGTTCAGTCGAAAAAAACACAATACACATTTTTTTGTTTAAACGCCAAGGTGCCACCAAAAAAAAAGAAGGGGTCTCAGATATTAATGCAAAAAGGACCAGATACCTCTTTTCTCATTTCTAAATGCAAAGATGTTGTGAATCCTGTGTGTGAGGCTAGCGGGAGGAATTTACCTGGAGGTGATAGAAGGGGCGTTCCCTCGATCTAGTAACATCAGGGGCTTAGCCCGACAATTGTTCATTCGAAAATATACATATCAATAGAATATCCAAAGAATATACAATATGAAATGTTAATAATGAATTAAAACTCTCCATAATAGACCAATCGTTTACCAAGATCTTAACTTATTGATACTGTTTTACTCTTTTTCTCTCTACATTTCTCAGGGTTTCCATTACAAGCTCACAAAGGCTTTTGTTTGCTTTGGCAGATAGATTTTCTCCTCCTCGGATAAGGCGCTCATGTGAACTTCATCGTAGTTAGTGCTCTCATACTCATTCAGATTCCCTGAATGTAAGAATTATAAAATACAACAAGTGGTATAGATGACAGATTATATTAGTACTGACTGTACGGGTGGATTCAGGTGAAGCAAGCAAAAGGAAAAAGCATAATAAAAGACTTAAGGTGATACACAACAGGCATTTCCTTTTGATTGTACTGGCCTATTTTTTGAGTTTGGGATTTGATGCCTGATACATTTCTTCTTTCAGACTAGTGGTAAGAAAACTTCCAAAAAATAATTTGTTTAGCTTATTCTGCTATAATTTGTCTATTTGCATCTGTAGATTTCTCCAACATTCACTAAAATTAAGAATTAGATAAAGCCACATATAGAACTTTGCTAAAAGTAAGTACCTCAATTTCCAACAAAATGGGTAACATTTATGATTAATGTTTGCAAATATGCTTGATCACATTTAAAAATGAAAGTGGTTTTTTGAGATACATTTATAATGAATGTAAAAGTCCACATCCACCCTAAAAAAAAAGTGAGTTGAATATCCATGCTTATCAAATATTAAACATCATGGTGTTTCATATTTTGACTGATTGTCAATAGATTTTTGACTGTATTGCCATTCATGAGTTTTAGAACTTTTTGCATCAGAAATATGTAAACTTGTACTTTGTTGTGAGTTAATGCTTACAACTTTCCAAAGAGACTTTAAAAGAAACAGATCTGCAGAGTTTTAGCCCACGTTTAGACACCGAGACGGGCCAAGTTAGCAGTGAGGAGGCCAACATCTGTCATCCACTAAAATAGAGGGTTTATTTTAATGCATCTGTCATCTTGCCCCATATTGACGTCTTTCAAAATTGAGGGCAGCTGATATGGGAGTTTCTTTCTGCCTCAACATTAAGGGTAAGACCAGTTAAGTTAAGTTAGGCGGCAGTAGCTCAGTCCGTTGGGACATGGAACCGAATGGTCGCCCGTTCAATTTTTCGAGGTGTCCCTGAGCAAGGCACCGAACCTCCAACTCCCAGGCATCGGAGCGCTGGCAGAGTGAGGAAAAGCAGCCCCATCGCTCAGCCACTTCTCCATTTGGTGCATGTCTATAGGCCCTGTTGTGCATGTGGGTGTGTATGTCCGGCCTATGTGTGAAATTGTAAATTAACACAAGAGTGAAGAACTGAATTTCCCCTCTGGAAGTAATAAAGGTGATCTTAATCTCTTAAAAAATACAAATTGATGATGCAGTGAGAAAAGATAGAAAAAGTAAAGCAACATGGAGACTGCATGGCTGAATATACGTTTATTATGCTTCAGCTTACAGAACAACTAAACAAAGAGAAGTTGGTTTTATGTGAAGCTTTGTGACTGAGGGAAAAAAACCTTTAGGAAGGTTTTACTACTGGGCACTGATAGAGGGAGACAAACACAGCGTAGTGCCAGCTGTTAGGTTTATTGTATTATTATTTTATGCAGGATGAAATTAGCATACATGATTTTTCAATAAACATACAATTAAAGGGTTCCTATTATGCTCATTCTCAGGTTCATATTTGTATTTTGTGCGTCTACTGTGACATGTTTACATGCTTCAAATGTCAAAAGGTCTTTGTTGTTCCCATACTGCCTGTGCTGCAGCACCTCTTTTCACCCTCCGTCGGAAACTAGAGCCCAATACCTAATCTAATGTAAAAAATACAATTACACAGTAGTAACAGCACAACCAACAAACAGCTGCTACTGTACAATACTTACACAACAATTAAGAGACAGTATATCAATGTAAGGTAAGTTAAGTTTTACAATTGAATCTGGATGTCACAGGTTTGATTTAAAAGTTGACGTTTTACTGGCCCCCAGCCTCACCCCCCTCTGTGGGTTGCTCCACAGTTTAGGGCCTCATAAAGCTCACTCACCTTTCCTCCTAACTCTCAGCAGTGCAACAGAATCTCCTGGTTGCTTTTACTGGAGCAGCTCTGCAGAGACCAATATAACACTGCAGGTAATAGGCAGTCCCAAGCGGAATGAAAATGAATGTAGGATTCAGTTAAAGGCTTTATTCCCTTATTATTTTCGGGGAAATGTTACATATTAATCTTATTAGTTAGTGTTGAGAATTATAACCATATTATGAACTGAGGTATGTTGACATGTCTTCTAAGAGCTATTGTTTTTACAGGGTTTACATAAAATGTGAAATTGTTTTGTATCATCCATTTTATTCTTAAATCAGGCAAAACCAGGAAGAAAGGGCAAACACAAGTTGAGTAACAAAGCTAAAAGCCACATTTTTGAAGGGATTTAACATTTGATTTAGGAGGATAATAAACGTTTGTACACAGATAATGGACCTGAAACTGTTAGTCACTGCCTCGGCTGTTGATAATATGTGTTTTTTAAGTTTCAAAACTACAATATGTGACAATCTTGTTCTTCCGCTAACACGAGATAAAGAAGTCTAATACCTATTCCAGTTAAAAATATTAATGTAGACCAAGATTTAAAAATGTATTGATAAAATGTGGCCTAAAGCAAGAAGAACCGTACATTAATGACGAATTGCTTCAAAGTTTCATTTTAACCATGCTACTTAAACAATTGGCACACATATATTTTGAGAAAACTGCAACTACTTTTCACACTTTGATAATGTATATAGTATCCCATGTTTATATTTTTTAATAAAATGATGTTAATCTCCAGGTTAGGAAAACATTCGGGATAATGTAAGTACACAAATCAGCAACAAAGACTCCTAAGGTCTAATTGTTTTGAGAAATGTATGGACTCGTCCAATCCTTTCACTTTACTACAAAAGCATTACTATTCCCTACTTGCAACATAAAAGCCTTTAGGAGTGAGGAAACATCTTCAGAACCGCACTTGGTCATAACATTGTAAAGCTCCTCCTGACGTGATCTGGTAACTGATTTGTTTTGAGATGCAGCCAACTCGATTCATTTAGCTTGTTTCCCCTTGTAATGCCTGTAGATGGCAGCAGACATTCATCCTTTCTAAACCCTCAGGTACACGATGACATTCTCAGAGGTTGAACAATCAAGCCTGATTTCCTCACCTCTGGGATTTCATTCATTAGCTCTGTTTTCTCAGTGCAGATCAAG